GTCAGCGGCGGAGTGGCTCGTCAAATAAGGAAAACGAAGTACCTCAATTGTGTGTGTCACCCACAATTCTTTGCGCGTGTGAAACACAAGCAAAGAAGCAAGAGTATGTATTGGTTTTGCATGTTTCTCCTTTATTACCTCTTAAAAATACTCTAGTTACCTCAAATTTTCTTAATATAGTTAAGTCTGTCGACTACAGCCTTTTTCGTAACGGTCACGGTAGTAATTGGGTTACTATACGTTACAATACGGTATACTAATTTTAGCACCGAAGCACTCGTACCAACTACACAGTATGGCCAGTACCTTACGCATGCGCACATGGCTGCCGCTGCCGGAAGGATATGGAGTTGGTACGTGTGCTTCAGTACTGAACTTAGACTGGATTACGTCAACGCCTTGGGGGCTGTTGCTTGTGCCTGAATAATACAGGAATTGGCTTCAATGATGAATGAATATGAATGATACATGAGGAGAGAAGAACTCAGAAAAAAAATTCTGTGTTGTAGATGGGAATTGAACCCACGATCTTCCAGACACTAGTCGGATGCTCTAACCACTGAGCTAAGAACTCTAGTGATGAGCAAAGATTATGTGCGAAAAAGGGGTAAGGTTTCAGTGAGGTTCGTGATTGATTAATTTAAGGGATCTGTTTAGTATGAGGAACAACTTATTGTAGGTTGTACCGTATGTGAAATAGACTACGAGCAGTATCTCTTTTCTCTGTAGTCCGTCGAGCAAAACGCGAGACATGCAAATGGCCACGCGCGTGCATTGCTCTCACTAAATCTGAAGAAAAAGAGAGACTGCTCGCAGTCTATATATGAAAGTGGTTTGAACGTTTCTGTTTGATTTCTAGGTACAGGGATGGCACAACAGGAGAAGTATATAGAGCGCAAGTCGCTTTGCAGCTTCTAGTTAAACCAGGCTCTTACAGAGCTGGGCACAGTCACAGAGACATGGACGCTAATGAACTGCTTGATCAGAATCTTGGAACGGAAAACTTGGAATGGTATCTGGAAAATCAAGGATCTGTTGTGTTAACTACACTTCTTATCAAGATCGAGCAAACATAAAGACGTTGCCACCCGAGGTCCGCAAATGTGGATCCAATGTCATGATTTCAACGCAGTGTTGTGCTGTCCGTCTGTTGAAACCAAAATTTTCCGACATAAATGTGAAATTTTCCCTTTATAGTTGCCGATCAAAATGGGTAATTTCCCCACCCTTTTTTATTGGGTTTGGTTTGAGACAACAAACGCGCATGCATGCACATTGCTGTTTGCGCTTACCTGTAGCTATTTAAATGTTTGATTGACAAAAAGGAGGTTTTCGATCCCCGCGTCGCTCTCCTCCCCACCCAACCTTCCGAAGGAAAAAGTCGGGTTTCCTTCTTTGAGGTGACCTAGATGAAAGTCCACGATACAAGAAACCTCATTTTGTAAAGTACTGTTACAGAAAATAGTATCCTAGACAAGTCACCAAGTTGGTGACGAGTGTAGGGAAAAATTTTCCTAATTATTTAGAGATGCTATGTTTTAACCTGCTCCTGAGAGAAAATACTTTTATCGTCAGAGATGTATTTTGGGTTAACCGAGATGTGTATTAATTGAAATAATTTATTGCAAAGTGAAACAAAAAAGACGTAAAGCGCATACGTCGCAAAAAAATTTCATGAAACAAAATCTACTGCTGCTTTCCCCCCTTCCCCCTCCTTACTGAGAAACAGACTTGAAGAAGAAATACTCAAAGGGAAAATGGTATATTTCGTTTTCGACAGATACGCAAAAATGGTCCGCATTAATCCAGTTGATGGTTTAGATTTTTAATGTGAACGGATTTATCCAAGGAGTGACTCTTGATTTGACATTGTGTGCACAGCATAATTGAAATAGACTGTCGCATGCATTTTCCTGATTACGATTGCAAATTCCTTTTATCTTGATTCGCTTCGCTGTGTGATTGGCTGAAAGATCTCGCGCTTTTCTCTCACCCAATCAGATAAGGAACCAAAACAGTGCAGGCGTTTTGCCACGCTTTGCGCTATTACATGTTGTGGCTTTGAGCTTTGATAGGTTCATCTGGTAGTTACCAGGGAAACGGAATTACGAGATACCAAGGGCAAGTGGAATGTAACCCAGCTTCATCAGCCAGGCTTGCATCTTTGCCTCCAACCCTGCCTTTTATATTGCTGATTAATATTTAGGGTCACGTGTACAACATACGGCAATTTTTACCAGGTGATCAATTTTTCCCTTTACTTGGAATTTACTGCTCATTATATTTACGTACAAAAATGAGCAGTTTCACGCCAGTTTCAACCATCAGAATTCTTTTGGACAGTTTTTATCAGCTCATATCCTATTGTGAGAAATTTTTAACTTGAATACCGTAAAATTCCGAAAATAACCCCCTTGGTTATATTTTTCAAAGGCCCTGTTTGAGGGGCTTATTTTTGGAGGAGCTTATGTACGGAGGGAAATTTGCGTTTCAAAATCGATTGGGCTAGCTTGTAGTGGAAAGGAAATTTACCATTTTTGCTTTGTTTTACTTTGTCTTCGACATGTTCGAGAGCAAATTCTATGTACAAGCCCCCCGGGGGGCTTATATTCGGAGGGGCGATTTAACGGAGGGTTTTTTGCGTTACGATTTTGAGGGGCTTATATTTGGAGGGGCTTATTCATGAAGGGTCTTATTTTCGGAATTTTACGGTATGACGTTTGATACCCGGCTAGCTGGGTGCCCTGGGTAGACGTTTGATGTGAACGTGATTCTAAATGGTTCTATCTCTACTTTCTTCTGGAAGGAAAACGTATCAAAGTCCCCTAAAAGTTGCAGTATTGGTAAACGGGGAAACAAGTTTACGAACTTTCTTTTAAATGCCTGATATATGAAAATAGAATTGAATTTACTGAACGAATAGTTATTTAAAACCGCGATAACTGAAGAGGGAAATTTCAAAAATGTTCGTAGTCGAAGACTACTACTGTGGACTGGAAAAATTTAGTGGAGTTATTTTTGTAAGATAAAAATCTGTAAATAAAATACCAAAACAAAGGAGAGCAACTTGTATTCTGTGATTTCCTCAGTGACAGTAAGAGGAAACATAAGACCAACACTGACTCTCCAACCCTCCGCTCGTCGTCTATGTCGGCCCTATGCGCCACTACGGAGAGGAGAGTGGGGACCAATAAGAGGCAGACACTGTCACCAACACCTGTAAAACAACACAGGGCCGGGTTGTTCAAAGCTGGGTTAAGATAACCCAGGGTTAGTGCGAAATTTGAATTCAGATTTGAAAGCGTAAAAAGTAAATTCAGTTTTATCCTTTCTGTCAACAGGTTTATGATTGGATACTCTTAAGAATAACAGAGAAAATTATCCGAGAAAATGCTTTTGAGCAAAGAAAAAGAAAGCCGCGTTGCATTTAACCCTGGGTTAAGCGCTAATCGGCCTTCGAACAACTGGGCCCAGATTTCCCCACTAACGAGGATGCTTATAAGAGTTAGAATATGAGGAAACTTTAGTTAGTTCAGTAACACGGAAACCTTACTTTCATGTCAGAAAAATTCAAGAGTGCTTTTCGTTTCATCTTTTCTCTATCATAGAAGACAATGAAGGAGAAACTTACACTTCCCCTTGTCGCAAAAAAACGGGTTGTTTAGCGCTGTAAATTTTCAACTTTAGGGACAGGAATGAGCGTTGTGATGAGCTTATTTTCCCGATTGCGCTTCCGAGGGAACTGCACTAAGCCCGGGCACCAAGTAAATGAGGGTTTCCCGTGCGCCACTTGTTTTGGGGTGTTCTGGATCTTCGTGTCGATCAGTGACTGTGGGTCGTTTTGACTGGTCCTTTCCTTTAATAACTACGGGTCACGATTGTTGTCTTTAAAAAAAATGGTCTTTTGCCTGCACGAACGAAGCATGCAACACCTTTTGAAAAATTACTAGGCACCCTGGTCACTTTTCAACACAGGAAAACAATGACGCAAATGCGAAAAATAAACTGGGCCTACCGTAGGCAAACCAGTATAATCGCTTCGCAGCGGTACTGAGCTTAATATACGACAGAAAACGTTTATCTGGCTCATTTCAATCATTAAGACGGAATCCACCAGGAAATTGAGTAATTTTAATTTTGAGTGGACAAAAACCTTCTACCAGAATAATTTTAAAAGCTTAAAAGCATATTGCATTCTTTTTTTTCATTTTTCAGGGGCACCCAACGAGAATATAGTTCAAAACCACTTAAACATAGCATTGTTAAACGTATTTTAGTTTTTAAACGGTAGATATAGGCATATTTTTATCCCCTAAAATTTTTTCATCTGTTCGGATTTCCTAGCTGAAAGTCTAGTGATCCGAAAATTATAGGGATCAAAACTTACCTTTGCGAAAATACCAGCTAGAAAAAAGGCTCCAGAAAATTCTAGGTGATCTTTTTAGGGTAAAAATCCGTTAAAAATAGGCAATTATACCATATTTTAGATGTTCGAAAATCCTAGGAGAGGCACGCAAGCAAGAAATTTTACAACAAATGTTCCGAAAATTCTAGATCTCAAATCGTCCTCCGAACAGATATTTTCCGAAAATTGTCGTTGGGTGCCCCTGATTTTTCAGGGGCTAAAGATGTAGTTAGTCATCTGTAGTAACACCAAAGAAAATTTCTTACGGGAGCCCGTAAAATTCTGAAAATTTCATGTGTACTGATGTAAGTCTGTGAAATGTAACATTCATTTTCTCGGGCACTCCATAAGAAATTTTCTATAGTGTTGTTACAGATATGACTAATTACATCTTTAGCCCTTGAAAAATGCAAAAAAGAATGCAATATTCTTTAAATCATTCTGGTACAATGTTTTTGTCCACTGAAAATTAAAATTACTCAATTTCCTGGTGGCCTCCGTTACAAATTCTCATCGAAGTTTTTACCCTTTGAGCACTAACCCTGCATGGTGTACGTAAAAGATCTGAATAACCAGCGAACTGTAATTCTCTTTTCGTTTGTTTAACTTTATTTGGTGGAAAAGATTTACTCCAAAAAAAGAGAACAAAACCCTACCTCTCCCTTCTTTACAATGTAAAACTGTCCTCATTTGAATTGTTTTTATTGAATTATAGAATCCTATGATTTTCCAATTGTCTCTCACTAACCAAGGGCACCCAACGAGGATATAGTTCAAAACCACTTAACATAGCATTGTTGAATGTATTTTAGTATTCAAACGGTAGATATAGGCATATTTTTATCCCCTAAAAACTTTTCATCTGTTCGGATTTCCTAGCTGAAAGTCTAGTGATCCGAAAATTATAGGGATAAAAACTTACCTTCTCGAAAATTTCAGCCAGGAAAAGGCTCCCGAAAATTCTAGGTGGCCTTTTTTAGGGTCAAAATCCGTTAAAAATGGGTAATTATACCATTTTGTAGATGTTCGAAAATCCTAGGAGAGGTAGGCAAGCAAGAAATTTTACAACAAATGGTCCGAAAATTCTAGATCTCAAATCGTCTTCCGAACAGATATTTTCCCGAAAATTGCCGTTGGGTGCCCCTGACTAACGCTAAGTTTCCATTGAAAGCCACTATCATGCAACGGATAAAAAGTTAGTGATGACTACTGGTATGTCTCAAATATAGATCAATCAAGACCCTTTCACACAAAAAGGCATTGAGAGACGTATAACCTAGTCTCCTACCAACATTTTTGGACGGTATCTTACTGCGCGACCAACGAAAACCTCTTTGGCATCGCACTTGTAGGGTGGAATGTTCCGCATTTATAACCCCCTTACATCAAAATAAAAATTCTCATTTGTTGTCCCCATACGTTTTTAATACTAGTAGTGGGGAGAATTTGTTGAAGTATCAAATAGATTCGTCTCCTGTGATCATGTCGTCAGTACTCAGTCTTATAAAAGATAGATATTACAAGAAGAAATTTGATGTTGATCACTCTTAAAAGAGTTAAATAAACCTTGGGATTGGCTTGCGCCTTTGATCACGCATGGGAAGTATAGGTGTGGGCTACCTTTTGAAAACTCTCCAAATAATGCGAGACGACTAAAGCTCTGGGATACTTTATTATATTGAGAATTCAATAAGTCATTTCCTCGAGTAAAATCAGAGGTTCACGGGAAGTTAAAACAGGCTATGATCGGGTCAAATACTATGGGATCGTCCAAGATCCCCCAAATTTTTCTTGTACCTCAAAAGTTTGCTAGATAAAAATGACGTCTCTTTGCCATTAAAAATAACTCATGCTGCATTTTATGTACAAACCTAACATCTCAAAAGCACCAATGCCACACTATGTACAAATGGAAATAATAACTAATAATTATGTCAATTAATTTATTGCTCTGGAAGTCGTAGGAAATTTACCACAGGACCTCATTCGCTATTTTAGAATTGAGAAGGCAGCTAATTCTTTATAACTACTGTACTGGTCTTTTGTTCAGCTGTCGGCAGAAGAACAAAAACTTAAACAGGATCTTCAGACAGGTGTTGCTAAGTAGCATGGGAGGCTCATAGCTTGGACTCTGACCAGCTACTGTGGGCTGCTGTCACAGGGCATGATCGCTGCCACTTATTCCATGATTCAACTTGCCAGCATTATATCCAATTCACCTCACATGACATCTACAAAGAATTCACAAGGATTTCCCATGGCCATCCTAAAACTGTTCCTACTCGCTGACAGATTATCAGGGACTTGATCAAGTGGTCTCGGTATCATAGCGAGTCCAGGGGTCCCGGGCATGGGTACCCCAACCGGGGGTGGTGCAGGGAGTATTGGAGCAGCTGACCCTTCCACGCTGCGTGCATCACGATCCTTTCCCTTGCTGCTACCACTCTTCCCGCTACTGCTTCCACCACTACTTCTGTTGTCGCCATCTCCACGGTTACCGCCACCACCGCTTCTTTTAGAGCTGCCACTAGCACTGTGAGGGCTTTGGCTACCACTGTGTGCACTATAAAATGACTGCGCATACCCTGGTGTCTGTGCATCAACCATGAGTGGGGGGGCTGTGGGGTAAGGAGGCATTTGATGATAGCCATAACTTGGGGGTCCTGCCATCCAGGAGATTCCTTGCTGGTGTGGAGGGAGGGGTCCCAGAGTGTCGTTGTCACCATCACCCTCGTGCTCATGAATTGTAAGAGCTGCCATATCTAAAAACACAAACACGGAGCAACTGTTAAGGATCGATTCCTAGAAACAGTTTGAAAATGCAATGCAAAGGATGCCTTTTACCAATCAAAGCAGTAAGTCCAGGGTGCAAAGAAAGTCTGTTTTACAGCTTACCCTTTGGGAAAGCCGTAGCTAGCGTGTACTAACCCAAGAGCAGTTTTAACAAGCCCCAATACAATTCTTGACCGGTAGCATTGATTACAGTTCTCTTTAAATTCCCTTTCCCGTCGGGCAAGTTAAGAACAGAAGTCACTAGCCAGAAAGCAAAATCCACTAAACCCAGACAAAACCTTCTTTGCACATTGCCTTAAATTATAGCAAATTTTCTCATAAAGGATATTCTACCAGAAAAAAAAATATTATCATAAATTTTGGGTAACTAATGCCAAATAATGATCTGATAATAAGATCTTAGGGTTGAATTAGCATTTCTTGTGAAAAATGTCACAACAAAACTGGTATTCTTGCCCCCTTCTGATTTACAGATGACTTGCAACTAGAATAACAGTACAGGGGCTATACACTAGCTTTGCCCAGTGGTCCATGGTCCCCCACTTTTGCTCTTGGGAGACCTTAGGAAATCTTGGCTTTTCTTTCTTTTTTCACGAAAATCATATACTGGACACCCTTGAGTTCACAGGTTCAGGGCACTAGGTTCCTTTGATTTATCTTACTGGAGAACAGCCTTGAGAATTAGCATAAGAATATAATAATCCACAAGCCACAAGCCAATTCATAACTCAAATATTCAAAGAAAGTTTCCAGCTTTGACATTCAGCAACACAATACACAATAATTTAGTAATCATCACATAAATAAGTAGTCAGCACATCTGCTAGTCCAATTTAGTTTCAGACCAGAAGCATCCAGAGTGGTATGGGGTATCAAAATAGCTCTAGGCTATAAACAAGACTGTTAATATATTTGGAAATTTAAATAATTAAATTAGTGGCAATATAGGAGATAGATAACCTGGCTTGATAATACAACAAAGAAAATAACACTAATGATTTTGGAAAATTAACTATTTTACATTTTCATCCCTAAGGCACTGACTAAAATATAAAAGGGAAGAAAATAAAGAACTTACTTCCACAAAGATCTCCAAAAACATAATAGCACTGTTCTGAGAAGGTAATCTTATTCACTGTGTGACGAATAAAGCCAGCCTGTAGGCAAGAAAAAAAGAAATATTTTTAACGACAAAAAAAGGTAGAAAAGTCTAGAATAATTACCAAATCATTTACCACATATGTTATTGACAAGATTATCTGATAATAATATTATGAGTCTAGTAATCTAATTCGTAGTTTACTTTCTTAATTATTCAGAAGAAAATTAAACTTTAGCCCATGGGTTGATTTAGAGAAAAGCTGATAACACTTTTTAAATGTAAAGACCTCACAAGTTTGTACTAAGGACGTGTAATTTGCTAGTGGGCAGAAGTGCAGACCTACCTTTAAAAGATTGCAGGCATACTTTCTAGCTTCACGTCTGTCTTGAAATCCTTCTACACGGTTGTAAAGCCAGTCTACAACATCAGAACCTGCAGTGTAAATATAATAAAGAAATTAGACAAGGTGTTGTGAGAAACATGCACTTTACCCAGAATTTCTTTATGTTTTGAGGTCTTCAAATTCCTTGAATTTCCTTGACTTTTTCCACGACCTTAGGTTTGGCTGTAATTTTCAAAAATTTCTAAACTATTCTTAATTTTGGTGATTTTTTTATCTAACCCAGTTCAAGAGAGACAAACTCTGATGTCCAAAACAAGTGTCATTTGCACTGTCTCTAAATTCCATGTCCTTGCTTTGAAATAATTGCAGTAACTAATCTACTAAACATAACTTCAATAAGTTACTTATTTTCCACGACTTTTCAGGCCTGGAAAACAAAATTCTTAAATTCAATGACTTTCTAGGTTTTCCATGACCTGTATGAATCCTGTTTTAGCCCGTGTAGCCAGCACGATTGTTAGTACGAGCAAAGTTTTGGCAGAGAAGCTACGAACCTGTGGTGCTTGCTTCTTGCGACAAAGCTTAGAGATTGATGTCTTAACTGCCAACACTCTCACACGCACAAACAATTCTGCCAGCTACACAGGTTAACCCTGTTTACCCTATGCTCAACAGTAAAGTTTGATGAAAGCATCAAAGATGATACACACCTATAAAAGCATTAGGAATAGTAATTTTAAGCCACATCCTATCCCTGACATCAAGACCTGAATCTGGAGCTGCCATTGTTTTTACTATAGTAGTCATGTCTGTGTTTACTGAGAGGCCTTCCCCTTCTGGAAGCTCCGTATATCCTAGAACAAAAGAGAAAATAAACCCTAAATAAAGCCAACAGAACTTACAAACATTTACAGCTGTAGACTGTCACTTTGCAAGACATATCTAGTTGATACTTGAACAAATTCTCCCCACTCCTTTTTAGGAAATGTACAGGGGCAACAAATGGGAATTTCAAGTTTGATATTTTATTTTATGGTTTAAAGGGTTGAGAACCACAAAGCAACTCACTGTCCGACTCTGGTAGGGAGCTCGTCATTGATGAGCTTGTAGACGTCATGGTGGTCAGTGATTGGCTGTTCGGCTGTTTTCCATATTGGACTGCTGGGTTACCAAGTTCTAAAATTCAGTAGAAAACAAGACCATGAGAAAATTATAAGCAGGAGATTTTTCATGTCATTTTACCCTTACTTTACTCATGCACATAAAAATTTCAATTTCGGAGGTGACTTTGAAGTACTTACGAGCCATTGCTGTTGTGTGTTGGACCCACGCAGACGTATCGATAGGACGAATTGGTTCACCTAGACCAGAAAACAGAAAGGTAACCCAAATGTTAGCACACTGCACACAACTAAGTCAGCGTGGGCCTTTTGCAATGGTTGATCACATGTTCAACTTTCGGTAAACTTGAAAAAAATTCACTTTGGAAATTGTTCGCAGGAACTGAAAGAGCATATTAAAATTAGGTAACTTGTAAATTTTCTGTTGTATATCTCAAAACAACGGTTACGGAAAATTAAAAGGATTGTATGGAAAAACAACTCTTGCCACCTAGTCACATTTAAGTGGTTTCTCATACAAATCATTATAAATTTTGACATTTTCAAATTGTTGTAAAATCTTTCCCTTATGTATTACAAAGCTCACATTTTCTGCTATGAGTTCACAAGAAAATTTAAACCCCAAAACACATAGGAAAATAGGCCTATTACAAAGTACAAAAAATTGATACATACTTGGAGGTAATGTAAAGTATCCTTTGGGGGTTGGATCCCAACATTTTGCTACAGTCAGCGTAATAGGTCTGAAAAGTAATTTATAATAGGATAAATGAGAAACATGCATAGAAGCAGCATTTTTGATATGTATTTACCAGATGATAAATCTGTTGCTATAGTGTTACATCTAACATAATCATTTATGCCTTGAGATCAAGTAAAATTGTCATTCACAGCCTTCAAATATCAAAGAAGTCCTTCAAACATCAAGTGTAAACAACTAAATGGTTTAATGAAGTGTTTCAACCATACAGTATATTCACGGTTTCCTTTTATTAAAACCACATTGAACTGACTACAAATGAGACGAAATAAGACATGGTTAAGAGCAATAAATCATCTCTTAATTCAAGAAAATGATACTGGATTTCCTGAATCTGGTTAAAAAGGGGGACCAAAGAGGATAATGTGAATAAAAAAAACATCACCAAGATTATTTTTGTTGCCGCCTTCAAAAAGGGCACACATTTAATATCTGGGACAATTCTTTTAAGAGCCTTACCCAGGTTTGTGGACCATCTCTCTTAAAACCCGCACAGCATCATCATTGCTCATATTTTCAAAATTAACATCATTGACCTGAAACAAGGAAAAGGGATCAGAAATCAAGGTCAAAAACTTATTATTATTTTAATAACCTTTTTATGACTGTTCATTCATGTCAACCAGGTAGCTAAAAACCTGTGTTATACAACATTCTTCCCAATGAAATGTTCTAGAAGGACAAAAGAATGATCAAGTACTTTAAGTACCATAAATCCTCTATTAAGCGCCCCCCTCTCTAATAAGCCCTCCCTTTTCAGGGGAAGAAAGTTAATCAGCTCCTCCTTCCCTCCCCTTATTATTACTGACCACTGTAAAACTTTGTGTGGACTGATCTAGGATGGTTTATTCACAAGGTGGAAGTTTGTATTTGTTCTTAATCCTTGGCTGCATGACTTCAACTTCTTGTACTTGAGCTTTTCCACTTTGCATTCTAGTTCTTTATGGAGAACTGATACCATCATCTTTGCTAAATTAAATACCGTCCCACCCCCACCATCACTCAAATGTGCTTGAAATAAATAAACCTCCTAGGCTATAAGTGGATATATAGTAAATAAGGAAATGCTGCACATACCTGGAGGAGCATATCTCCTGGTTCTATTCTACCATCCAAATCAACTGCACCTCTGTTTACATTAGAGAGGGAGGATAAGACAAGGATCAGTGAATTGTTATCTTCTCTGATTGCAATAAACTATGTGGATTGATCAAAACTAGAAATAATCCTAAAGCATGACGACTACTTTTTCACTTAACTGTGTTAATTGAACAAGATTGTTTTTCCATTAAAATTTACAATTAAGATTTTTCTGTATTTTTTTTGCAGAAACTAAAAAACTGTAAAAAAAAAAAAAAAAAAAAAAAATTTAAAATTAAAAAAAATAAAAAAAAAAAAAAAAAAAAAAAAAAAAAAAAAAACATATTAAAAAAAAAAAAAAAAAAAAAAAAAATTAAACAATAATTTTATTTTTTATTAAAAAAAAAAAAACACATCAAAATTTTTATTTTTTTTTATTTTTTAAAATAAAAAAAAAAAAAAAATATGAAATTGATAAAAAATAAAAAAAATCCTAAAGGAATACGACTACTTTTTTTCTTAAATGTTTTAATTGAAAAAAATTTTTTTTCCATTAAAATTTAAAATTAAGATTTTTTTGTATTTTTTTTGCAAAAAATAAAAAACTGTAAAAAAAAAAAAAAAAGACAACATTTTGACATTGACAAAAATGTCACTTTCAGTCGAAAAGAAAAAAAACACAAGACCTGTTTACAAATGCTCAATACAAAGAAAAACTGTAAACAATAACTTCATTACTACTTGAAAATGACAATTGGCATCACGAGTTTTAAGAGTATTGCATTCTTAAACCTTACTAACAAAAACATTTCTGAAGTTTTGATTTTATTCATAAATGAATACAGACAGAATGTGGATAAGGGTCAGCAGTAATAGACACCATTTTTCCTGACCTAAACACACCCTTCAGAGGTTATGGACTAGCATTTTTTAAAGGTATTAATCCCAAATAGCCGGTTCAAAATTATTAACTTCATTTACACAGAAATAGTTAACACTTACCCCTTCATGATTGAACCAACATAAATTCCACCATCCCCTCTTTTGTTGCTTTGACCAACAATACTAATTCCTAGAAAATTGACTTTATCTGAAAACAAAAATAACAACAACTTTAACTTTAACATTTTGTGGAATGTGTAGATTTCTGTTATTTATAGAAGACTAGACTTCACATGATAACTTATATCAACAAGTAGGTATGCACTAAACATATACTTCACATATGTTTGACCACAATGACGCATGCATGGATGATAAATTATGTAATCCTTGAAGTTATGTAAATGACAAGTTCTCACGAATCTGAACTACTTCAGATGATTACAATGAAGAAAGGATCACAGTTGCTCTTTGAGATACAGACAGATTCATGGTTTCTTTGCAAGAACCTCCTAGAAAATTCTGTAGAAATTTGAGCAGAAATCTTATTTTTAGAGCATCCACAGTAATGACTGGTTTTAAAACGGGGTCAGGGGACTCACCCATATTTAGAGTGACTGTGATAATGTTCAGAGACATTGTTGATTCTGTAATTGTGCTGAAGGACGAACACTAAAAAAGGAAATTAATAAATGTTAATTAACATCATTGAACACCTCAAATTCTANTAACATTTTGTGGAATGTGTAGATTTCTGTTATTTATAGAAGACTAGACTTCACATGATAACTTATATCAACAAGTAGGTATGCACTAAACATATACTTCACATATGTTTGACCACAATGACGCATGCATGGATGATAAATTATGTAATCCTTGAAGTTATGTAAATGACAAGTTCTCACGAATCTGAACTACTTCAGATGATTACAATGAAGAAAGGATCACAGTTGCTCTTTGAGATACAGACAGATTCATGGTTTCTTTGCAAGAACCTCCTAGAAAATTCTGTAGAAATTTGAGCAGAAATCTTATTTTTAGAGCATCCACAGTAATGACTGGTTTTAAAACGGGGTCAGGGGACTCACCCATATTTAGAGTGACTGTGATAATGTTCAGAGACATTGTTGATTCTGTAATTGTGCTGAAGGACGAACACTAAAAAAGGAAATTAATAAATGTTAATTAACATCATTGAACACCTCAAATTCTAATCACACACTATTTAAAATATCTTAAAATAGGCCCCCTCTAACCAATATCGAACCTCAATGGTCACTAATATCATTCTAAATTCAGTTTAAAAGTAAATGACAAGACTGTTATGCAGTAATTCAGTACAGAACAGTAATATTTTGTAAACAAGAAATTCATTCTTTTCACTCTTTTATGTAAAAACTCTTCTTTAAAGTAACCTTACAAGATCATTTTTCCCGGTCAAGGCACTAAGAGGCAGTCCACACTTGGTGCCCGGAAACCAGTGCCTCAGTAACAGAACAAAATAGTGTTGTGTTCACCTCTTGACCGAGTATGTGACTTTGTACATAGTTGCTCTAATTCGCCCTGAAACTAACAATAACAGGGTACACACAGGGCCCTGCTGCCCACTTCTGCGCCCAAGTACAAGCTCAGGCACTAGTACTGTGCCAAAAACCTAGGGTAGCCACTTGAAAAAAGGGTGTTATCACATTAGTGCCTCGCAAGTACCACCCTCAAACACTGTTCCCAGGCACAAAGTGTGAACGCTGCCTAGGAGTCCGCAAGCATAAAGACTTGGTACTTTAGGTGATCGTTTCATGGAGGTTCAATGTATGTTATTCACCACTAGCTGAAAAGACAAAACAAGATGATCTCTAAACAAAAAAAGGCCCAAGTACTCACTCTTTGAACCCTGGGCATCCTGGGTCTCCTTCTTCTTCTTCTATGTCTCCCACGTAGGAGCTGAGAGTTTTCTGTTGTGCTTGAAAACCTAGAAACACTACAAAGATAAAAATAAATCTTTAATGCTGTTTCTAGACAAAGCTTGGGACACAATTAAAAGGAACAGCAAACCCCCATCCCCCTGTTTTCCTTTCTGATTTTCTTTTTCAGACAAATGTTAAATTTTTGCCTCCCTCTAATAATTTCAGTTTATGAAAAAAGAAAATGTAATCAAAGAGAAAAATTAAACTGTTTTTAAAAGGAAATATGTAGTGTTCTTTGACCAGAGTAAGATGAAAGCCACCCTCAAGGAAAACAGTCTTAACAAATACATGTACCTTGAAACAACCATGGAACTACATGTAAATCAAGAAATAGAAATTTGGGTTTGTACATCGAATGGAACGGACCAATTAAGTTTGGTCCGACCGGAATATACGGGTCCACTTTGAGCAGTATGGTCATTTCAGTCAGTTGAACCACTTGACAAAATTGTTGTCCCCAATATCGCTCTTTTGTATCCTGCTTACAAGAACAATGAACAAAGACATGATGGCTTGGGTCGGGTCTGTGCAACCAGAACAGGGCTTTAGCAAAGTCCGGTGGCCCCTGGTGCCCAACTTTCGCTCTCGGGTAATTAGGAAATCTCAGTTTTTTCATACAAATATGCTGGGCACCCTAGATTTTACAGTTTCAGATCACTGGGCTCCCTTCAATTTTCCTTAGAGCACAGCCTTGCAGAATGTGCTGTTTTATTGGACAAGTGAAATATCCAAAACTTCAAACTGGAATTTTGGTTGAATGGAAAGCACCCTTAGTTTTTTCATAGAAACCATACCCCCGCACCCTGGCTGTCACAGGTTCAGAGCACTGGACTCCCTTCAATTTATCTTACACTGCAGCTTTACATGTAGTTTACCTGCTTTGATCATCTGAAGAATCTTGGTAACTTGTTGTTTCAATATCGCTACTCATCATCGAAGCACTTTCATATCTATCCCCATCATGCCGCCGTCGACCATGGATTACTGTAACACATGGAAAAATAAACAATCCATTAGTCCCATTTTAGTAATGTCAAAAGTACTTGACTGCAAGGTTAAAATACTCTGCAGATTTTACGTTGAAGGACCTACATGTAACATTGTGGTTTTACAGGTTTCTCATTAGGTGCCAGCATTCAGGTAAACAACCAGCTCCTTTGACATCTGAGCCATCTACTTTTAGGGGAACATGGGTGGAATGAACGAGTGAAAGCTTCAAATTGTCTACGGCAGTTGATCCCCAAGTCGCCTACTTTTACATCCTAGCCCTATATATCTACATGTAGGTCTGCCTTGTTTTATCCGGTTTAGCAAACTCACCCTCATTTCTGTTTATACTATGTTTTTCCCGTCTTCTGGAACCTCTTCTAGAACTAACTGTAGAATCGACTTCTGAATCAAAATCCCCTGTAGTGGAGTGACCTCCATGACTAGAACAAGCAACAAAACAAATATAAAATTGACAGATCAAAATAATTAGTTTTAGCCTTGACTGTACTCCTTAGTTTCAGTAGATGATAAGAACAGTTTAATTTCTGTTCTTGCAGTTTTAGTAGGACTATAAGATCAGAATTTTCTCATTTTCTAACAGATAAAAAAACAGGATACAGACATCATGTGGCCACTAAATGTTACTTTAGGTGGTCACATAACCTGCTGGCCCCAGTTGTTCAAAAGCTGGATAGAGCTTTCCATCGGTAAATCTCTCTGCAGTCGATAAGTATTAAGGAAACCAATTGCACTATCCACTGGATAGAGATTTATACAGTGGATAGCGCTATCCAGCTTTGAACAACTGGGGCCAGACCTTTAATAATCCTAAAAAGCATAGGAAACATTTCTGTAGTTTGATTCACTGTAGGACAATGATTAAACCTGAATTATACAATTTAATAAATGAAAATCAAAGTAAATCGTGATCATTGTGATAATAACAAAGTGTGGGAGTGGGTGGAGAACCTAGGGTGTTAATCCAGTTTCTGTCATTAAAAACACCTCCCAACAGAAACAATAACATTGTTAATGTTGTTTCCCCAGAATCTTTGGCTTATCAGAGAACAAAATGCACTAGTTTCCCAAAGGACCAGTCATGTTGTCAAAGTGTTTTGCAATATGACTTGTCAAAGACGCAAGTAGATCCAGATTCTATGAAAGGGTTTATACAAAAAATTGCAACCATTTTCAAGGACTTTTCAAGGATCACCTGAGATTTTCAAGGACCACCTACTAGGAATATAATTTCACAGATTGTACAAAAATGCACATTCCCAGTCTATTCTAATAAGACTTTAAGGCTTTAACTATTTGCTTCACCAACTTCTCTTCATTTTTCAGTTCACTTGTCTTAAATTGATAGTTAATTATTGGATAAAACAGAGAGCACTTTATGTAAATAACCTTTAAATTCTCTGAGCTATGATTTATATTCTTTCTTGAATAACCACAAAGAATCATCAGGCTACTACATTCAAAGTTGAAGAAAAATCAAGGACTTTTCAAGGACTTGCAGAGAAATTTAAGGACTTTTCAAGGAAACATGGGATTCAAGGACTTTTGAGGACTTCCCCTAAAATTCAAGGACTTTTCAAGACTGTGCCAACCCTGTATGAAAACAAAGTAGTGGTACCCAGTGATTTTGTTACGTCTGCGTCCTGTGTTCCTGACGTATAAAAACCCCCAAAGACGCAAAATAATTCATGGCATGCATCTCGTAGGACACAAAAACAATGGATTGATTTGAATCTTTTTGTAGAATATCATGTGAAGACAGTGAAAACATACAATATTATATTTTTAACAGTACAAGCTATGGTTTTCTTCCAGGCCCTAGTTTTTTCAAAACTAGATAATGCTATCGGAAGGGTAAATCTCTATCCCGTGGATAGCGAATCGGTTTCTTGAATACTTCCCTGGGCCCAGTTGTTCGAACACCAGTTAGCACTCACCCAGGGTCAAATTTTAACCCGGGTTTCTTTTTCATTTTATCAAAAGCACTATCTCAGATAATTTTTTCTGTTCTTTTTAAAGTATCCAGTCATCAAATTGTAGGCACAGAGAATTAAACTGAATTTGCTTTTTACGCTCTCATATCTGAGTTCAAATTTTGCACCAACCCTGGGTTATCTTAACCCAGCTTGGAACAACCCTGCCCTGTTGGAAAGCACTATCCAGTGTTTAAAAAACCGGGGCCAGGCAACTCTACATCATGGTGTTTACTTACTGGAAGGATGGTGGTCTTGAATCCCCGATACCAACTGTTCTTGGCATAGGAGGATGAAGATCAGATCCAGCTGATATAACAGACTGCTGGTCATCTCTGCTGCCTTGATCTGATACACTACTTGTGTCTGATGTGACAAGCTGAAACAATGAATTGATCACAGGTTAATCATCTATTACTATCATTAATAATTAATATTATTATTATCAAAAAGGACCTGTTATTGTATTAAAAGTAGACAAGACAAGACATTCCCTTGTTTCACTGTCATTCATTAACATACCAAAAAACAAAGTACAAATTTAACCAACTTAAACCAAGGATAAAATTGAACCACAACATAAAGAGCTTTGACTAAGGAACACAAGTTGAAGAAATGGTTACAAAACACAGAGTACAAAATGCTGACAGGAACTTGCTTTCTCTCTCAATTTGTGAACACAGAAAAGAGAGAAACTGGCCCCCACCCCTATGGTGGCCTCATAAAACTGCATAGAATACACTGATTGCCTTGTTTAAGATCCTTAGTGTCTTCCATTAGCAGAGCTGATGGACTACACTTTATTACTATGTAACTCTTATATTGCACATAAGCAGGACTTTGCTATGGTTACAATTAAATCTCTCAGAAGAACAATCTCCAGAGAACATGGCATTATTTACTATTTTTGTTCTAGCAAACAGTCAACTGAGAGCGCCCTTTCTAGAGTGAAGCCAAACAGAGTACATGGAGGAGTTATAACAAGGCATACGACAACATCAAGATTACATCAAAATATATTGCTTTGCATTTACTTCTTTTTGCCCTCGTTACAGTATTTTAATTGAACTGCCAAACAGTCTCTAGGCAAACAACTTAATTAAGCATTAAAATAGTCAAACCTCAGACAAAGTAAATTTAAGTGAATGCATTGAAGGCAGTACTAAGATCCTTTACTACGATATTTTATTTTGTTCACTGCACAAATAAACATAAATTTTAGATATTTATATATTGCTCTAATTGTTTTGGCTGCAAAAACGTTTCTTATCATACACTGGTAATTAAGTCACTTAGTGAACAATATAGCTTCACCAACATATTTGAAACTTCTGCAAAATATTTTAGTGGGGCATAGAACCACTTAACAGAATATAGAAAAATATAAAAGGATGTAACATGTGGTTTACACTTGGTTTATTATAAACCACAAAATATGCTATATTTGTTTTAAAAAGCAAAACCAATGGCTGGATTTAAAAGCATATTTATGATAAAAAAATACTTGGTCGTTAATCTCCTTTTTACACCACCAAGCTCACAAGCAATTTAACAATCGTCACTAAGACTCTCTGGTTCAGCGTAAAGATATTAGAACAAAAGGTCTTTCTTTCTCATGGTCTTGTCCAAGAAAAAAAGGCTCTTATTGTTCTAATCCAACATAAAGGGTACTAATGAGCAAGGCTAACAGACTAATTAGCACATCCATCCAAAATTGAAATCTCGGCCTTACTGACAAAGTAGAACACCCAAAATTATTAACAGACAGGTGGAAAAATCACACTAAAGAGGAAGATAAGATGAAAAAGCGAAATATACAACCAATCTCTCACTAATCTATGCTCTCCGTGTGTCGTAGAGTAAATTTTTTTGGTATTTTTTACAAACCATCTGTTTCTCACAGATCCATTTACTTAGATGTACATCAATGTGAAGCCATCCAAAGAGGACGGCAAACAATCTTTACAATCATACTTAGAAATCTTGAATAAAATAATCGTCTAGAAGTTAGCTTTATGATGATTCATAAATATCGAACAGTACGCTAGGAAGCTTAACAATATACAACTACCTTTCTCAGTGATAAAATTTGACCATAAAAACTGTCTGGCCCCACGACACTTGCACCTCAAAATCATGAAGGGCAAGTTACTTAAAAAACTAAAATACGCGACCGGCCTTTCAAAGAACGGCATCCTTCACACTGATGACAATTTAATGAATAGCCTCCTAATTGCAAACCTAGTATTAAATAGCTCTTTCCCTTCAAAGAGCCAGTACTTCTCGCATTGGCCGAATCATTCACTCAAAAAAATTACTTTTACTCTTGACAAACAAGAAGAATGCAAATCACCATAATAATTCATTTTGGAATGACAGCTAGAAGCCTTTTGAACAAAAAATTGTCTGATTTGCGATAAAAGGACGGAGTTAAAATCAACGAAACAGTTACCATTCCGTCCGTATAACCTTGATTAAATCTCCTTTCTTAACAATGGCCTCAGTAGGAAATCGATGAGATGTAAATAAAATATGAGGCTTGTACATTCAACCAAACTTTATTACTGAAGCACAATCGGAGAGCCAATATCTTTTTTGAGATAACAAATGACTGCTAGAAGTTTGAGGTTTGGGGTAATGGGGGACAAGTAAAAAAGGAAGTAAATTTTAAAGCCTGGGCAATAAATACCGGCAAAACATGTTTATGTTTAAGGATAATTCTCTACAGTTGCTTTTCGTATAATAATGGCTTTAAATCAAGATCATCCTAAGAAGCATAAACATGAACCTTGGCGCCAGACGGATATCCTTCTCTGTGGAATCACGAGGAAGGAAAACGCACTAGAAAGACGATCAGATCATTTCTTTTACAAATCTGCGTTCTAAAAGGCAATTGACGATCTTGACTGAGTTACAACTTAAAATAAACTTTATTTCATGCAACGAAAATATATCAACAAACCCGATCTCTTGAATGGCTTCGCCGGTAATTCATTTTACAGCTACGATCGGAACTTACAAAGAAATAGCAAAACCACTTACCCATGCGACTACTCTTCCATTAAAACATGGTAAGTTCATCTCTTCATCGCTTATCTCTTCTTTGACCACACTGCAAAAGAGATCGAAGTTATCATGAACGAAAAAGGTATCAATTACAATCGAGAAAGCCATCAGAAAAGTTCGGATGGAATGCGTGAGATCTGCGCCAAAACTCGCCAGCAATGACTCGCCGTGGATCGCTTGAAATAACGGAAAACTGATTATACAAGAAAAGGCTATGTACAGTCGTAGCTATACACAGGGAGACACGGAACATGCTGACAGCGAGCGAACTTTCACACAGTATGGCTTCAAAGCAAAACAAGACGGATTTGAAAACATTGGATAGAAGAACGAGGCAGGTCGGTGTTTTCCTAAACAAATGTATTTCAAAGACTATTTATACAGATACATAACCTGCTGAAAATCGGAAGATTACCGCTTGAGAAAGAACTGTACAGCGAAAAGAGACAATGCAAACAGTGCCTAAGAAATGAATCTACACAGAGAGCGCTTATTTGGTACACAAACTCACCCAAAGTCGTCGTCCATACTCTTGAAGAAGAACTTATAACTCGGCCGATTGAGTACATTTTTGAAGTCAGAAAGCGTAACTTCAGCAGGACTTTTGGGCAACTTTACAAGGTAAGGTGTATCTTCGTCATCAATGTGATAAATAACCTTCGTTTCGTCCATTTCGGATCAATTCAGTGTACACCACACCAACTTGACCAAGATCTTCTGTTGCATGCCTTGATGTCAATCACTGAGGCGTCACGTGGCGCAAGTCGGACCAATCAAACAGCGGGATAAGACAATAAACCCAGACAAGAGCACTTTCATCACAAAAGACCAAATTTACTTTTTGCCGATCACGCCGCCCGTGACATGATCCATAAACCTTTGTTGGCAAAAATTTTGGCAGTCAAAGCATTGGTAAGTTTCGTAAATAACAACGAGTTACAGTCAGTCTATTCAGTAATCGAAGACGGGTGACGCGAAACGCTTTACGCACGTCGCACATTCCCGCGTCAAGTTGCGCACAAAGGACTTCCGCCGCCGGTTTGGAGTCCAATGCCGCAAAATTAAATTGAAACGTTTCATGGTTCATTTGATTTCTTCAACCAGCATATCATATCAATCTTAGAAATTTAGGAAACTTAATAGCATTACTTTGCTTTATTAGAGGCCTCCGTCTTGTTGATCATAACAGAAGACAGAGATCTGTCACAGAATCATTTGAGGTATTTAGTGTACCCTTAAATATAAAATAAACACTTCACTTTTGGTGTGCGCGTTTGCGATCGGCCGCTAATCGAATGCTAATGCAAGTTGCAACTCACCGTAATGTTGACTATTGCGTGTTGACGCGAAAATGAACGAGTGTGAGTGGTAAGCAATGAAATCAACACCGTACACAACTGTCACGGAGGGATTTCTTCACTGACATAGGTTAATTGATCCGATTAGTTTGATTAATTACTCGCCCTACTCATGTTTCCCGCGGGTAAAAGGTCCCAAACGCGAACTGTCCATGTCCGGCTACCGAAGGGCAAAAAAATTTATAAACACGTCAGTTCGGATGTGCCCTACCGAGAATAATTTTCTGAGACGTATTAAAATAATGAGCTTTATGGTACTATTTCAAGTTCAGTTGGAATCGGTCAGTAGCTTGTGGCTCCTTGGGATTTATATTTTGGGACATGCCGTAACTTAACCAGGAAAATGTCTGTCAGATGGTCTTTCCCCAGCAGTTTCAAAATGCGGGGGGTAAATTGGCCTATTATTATTTTTATTATTGGCCTTATTATTCCAAGACATTTTTTATATACTATGCAAATTGAAATTGCCACACTTGCTTGTTCAAAGGATGTCAAGGCTGAATGTTATGTGAAAAGATGAGAGTATCACTTTTTTTTTATCAAAAACCAGAGTACTATTCGTGACTTTTATAATTTAATCTATTTACATGTGGAATTTGACAAATGTGAAAATACAAAGCTTAGACCTGCTTATCCCTTAAAGAGGTCTTGAGTTGTAGATAAACCAAGTCTTGCCTTGCCATGCATCCAAGAGAGCTAATGATTGGTTGAATTGACTGAATCAGTGTTCCATATGAGTATGAGAGAGTAGGAAATGACAGTTCACCATAATTGGATTTTTCATTCTTTAGATAAAATAGCTAAGATATTACATGCACCCTGACTGGCAGAGAGTTGTTTGCAGGAGAGTATGAAATCACAGTTGTGACACCTCCATGTTTGGCTGCTCGCTTGCTGATCTCATAAATCACCATTTTGAAGAAAGTAGAAATCAGACAATATTATTGTAGTCTTGAAAGGGGTTTTCTTTGTCAGGAAAAAAATAAGGTTTGAGTTTAATATTTCAGCAATACTCAGACAACTGCTCAGAATAAGAAAAAGATTGACAAGTTGGACTGCTTATAGGAAAAAGGGCTTAATTCCCCAGTCCCCACATTTAGAAACGCTCCACTGCCTCTGAATGACGCCTAGGGGCTAGGAAAAATAGCATTAAAAACATATCAGTCTCTTCATTGTCTGAAAATAAGAAACTGTACCAATTTCCTGATAGGAACTCTTTATTATTGTCATGGATTTTCTCTCTTAAGGAGGATTTCACTATCACATAATTTTTATGTGTGTAAATATAAAATAGAGGGGATGTTTGAAAGGTTGACGGTGGAAAACCTCCTTACCTTTTGTTGTCAAGCCATTTTCTGCTATCTTCATGACAATAAAAACATGATAGTCTAAGGAGAAACTGTTTCTTTCTTTGGCAAGGTTTAATCTTTTATTGGAATGTAGTAAATTTTGCTTATGTATGTCATACAACTCTTTTGCTGATACATTCATAAAATTTTACTGTAAACTAACAGAATCACTGGGGAAAAAGGCACAGGCAACCTACAGCATAAAAGTTGTGTAGCTCTAGAATAAGCTAAATGCAGCTGGTCTGTTTAAAGTACTGTTCTCATCATCAGGGGATTTAGCTCCAAAGGAGAAACTAAATTCAGTGGGCCCAGTGACTGCTTGTTGTTGATTAGACTGAATAGGACTAGGATCTCCAAAGATGGAACATCCGTTGAAAGTTGATGGGTTTGTCCCAAACAACCCATCACCTGCTCTGCTCTCTCCAGACACTGGTGACCCAAACAGGTTTGAATTCTGTCTTGACACAGGGAATTGATCAGCTCCAGACCCTGTTTGGAGATAAGTACTTAAGTGTGATTTACTGTGTAAAGCCTTGTTCTCATATACCACCAATGTATCTGTGACGTAGCTGCCGGTACTGCCTGGGCTACTTCTTGGATGAATGAGAACATGCACCGCCGGTAATAAGAGCCATCGCAGAGCTTTACCACTGACATACCTTCGAAGTTGAACTCAAGTCAACTTCACAGGCATGCCGCAGTTAAGACTGGGATGACCAATGTTGCCAGCCAGTTCTGTTCTCATATCAGAACAGTATCCTAGGCAGTACTGGCAGCCATGTCACGGGTGCATCGGCGGCATGTGAGAACCAGGCTTAACAATGCTTTTTAGTGTTCTTATCGCCCCATGTAAGGTTATCCAAGACAGTCTGGATCATTATACGTTTCTGGGAAACTGCCCAAATACCCCTCCCTTAAGAAACATTTTGCCCTAAGTGAAAAGCAATTGTTAATGACAGCTTTAATAGGGGAGGGGTATGTGGGCAGTTTCCCAAAAACGTATAATGATTCGACAGACTTGGATTTTGGATTCTGCGCTGTGGATTCCAGATTTTTTGTCAGTGGAACTTACAAGACTCCAGTCACTCCAACTGAAAGCAGGATTTGGGATTCCTTTAGTTGGATTACAGGTTCCAAATCCCAGGATTCTGGTAGGCCTTTGTACATTGTGCTAGCATTTTTTCTGTGATGAGTATTATTGAGCATATTTTCAGTGACTTTTTTGGGGACTAACAAGCATTTTAATGGGAAAAATGGAACATTAAGATGGAGCATTTTAGTGGGGAAACAAAAGCATAATGTACAAAAGCCAAGTAGATTCTGAATTCCACAAGCAAAAATTTCCTGCATTACAGATTTCACAAACAAATATTTGGGGCGATTTTTATACACTAGATTTAAAAAAACTTGTTGATACAAAGCCGTGTGTCTACTATTAGTTAGTTGCTGCAAACTACCGTGAAAAGTTCAAGGTCTAAAATGTTCACTTTAAACATTGCTTTCCTTGGGAGTGCTAAAATAGTAGATTTAAATCTGATGGAAAAAATCAAGTGCACTAAATTCCTGAAATGATTCTGTACGGAGTTATCTACTAAGCATTTGTGACATATGTATAACCAATATTCTGAAAGAAGAAACATTGTCATTACATATGCATTCTGCTCAGACTGCACCATGTACACAACTATAAGTTAATTTATCTGAAAATACCATTGAGATAGTTAATTACACAATAATGTTAGTACTTTAACCCAGGCAGTTTATTATTACATAAGTTTCAATAAGGGTATTAGTTTTCATATTATATGAGAAATATTTAGCAGGACTTAAGTCAAAATAAAGACCAATAAGCACCTATTAGTTGAGTCCAGCTATTAGATATCTTAACTATGTGATCTGTCAGTAATTGCCTACTTCAGTCATATTCTATAATTGGTATCACATATTTAACAGGGACCAAGTAAAGTCAAAATAATTTTCAACTTTTTAGTGAACAGGAATTTGAACTCAATCTTTTGGAAAAGCTTGTAGCAAATAAGACACAGCAGGACCCTCAAATAAGGCCCAGAACTCTCACCAGTTTGAGCTCAAGTTCATATTGGCAAATCTTCACTGCTATACTTCACTCTGTAAAATCCCAAATGATTGAATTGGTGTTTTTTTAACACCTCTTCTTTCGAAAGCTCTTTGGAAAATTTATTTTCTTCTCAACTGATTAAAGTGCATAAAAGTTGGTTGACCAAAGCCTTTGATAAACTACCTCATGGCTACAGTGACTTATATTTTATACACTGGCTTCATATTAAGGCTTCTTGTACTACAGTACACACACAAGAATTATACAACGGAGAGATAGTTCTTTTTCACTTTTTTACTTGGTGAAATGCTTTACTAACCTGTTGGAAAATTTTCCACTTCTTGCAGATTGAATAAGAAATTTGTATTCTCTCTGTTAGCCTGCAGTATTTCAAAGATAACATGAGCATAACATTTTGTTTCAGCAGAATTTCCCGATGTGGTCAATGTTCAGAATTAAAGCTGCATTAAAAGAAGTTTGCTCTAAAGACTATTATTTTCCTTTCTGCAAATGTATCAGCTTTGTAATATCGAGCATACACATTCTTTTAGTGTAGAGGCTTATATTTCAATGGACAGTTATGCAAACATCACAGGGTTTTTATTAAAAAACCTAGTAGCAGGAGAAAGGTGTCATGTTTCCAGCTAGGAGAATATCTTGAAAAAAGCTCCATGTCTGAGTAAAAAGTAGTCATAGGCTACCAAACATTAGCCGGAGAATTATGTCTAGTTGTGTAGTAAACAGAGAGTTCTGTGATCTCCGATGCCCAATGAACACCCTGCATTAGCTTTTCTTTTTCTGTTAGCATTGATTAAAACGCATGATAAGTCATTGATGGTAATAGCCTGTGAGCCAGCTCTCTGGGGGCAGAAGGGTTTGCTCGCGGGCTAGGCTATTATAGAAAAGAGAGATTAATGTAAACAAGTGCTTATCAACTGACCTGCTCCTTGTCTCCTTCCACAGAATTATCAAACATTGGCCTGCTCTGAAAAAGAAAACCATCTCCTGGAGACTTTCTGAGCTGCTGGATGAAATTTGAGTGTATCTCAAAATTGAATGGGCTGTTAGTTGCCTCTGAAGTTGGGACAAAACCAGAGTTTTGTTGATGTGCTGTTGTGGGTGTGCAAGGGAAGGTTGTTTCTTCATCCATATTCTGTGGACTACAAGCTGTGAGATTTAATGTAACAGACAAGTTTATCAAATAGTAACACCTTCATGTTTTAAAGTTGAACCTCCTATAAGCAACCACTCAAAATATGAAGACTAGTGGTCGCTTATATGAGGTAGCGCGTGATTGCTTATGAGAAAAGAACCACAGGAGGTCTTTTCCGATGAGATGTCCAGACACATCTACTTTATGGAAGATAATTTATTACATGCAGTTTATTTCTAAGTTGTGATATGTGCAGTTCCATGTTGTGGCTAAAGTTCTTTGTATATTAACGTGATCTTAAGTACCAGTAAACCTCAAAGTCACAAACTAATTTTCATAGCTGTTTGTGGTTTTGTTTTCTCAACAATGTAAACATATAAATTTAAATATATGGAGTATGAAATACATTTTGAACTGAGGTTGCATTAAAAATACCTTAATAATGTACTTACAACTGCAGTAGTCTTTGACTTACATGGTTGATTGTGTGAGATTTGAAGTTGTTGTGGGTGGCATTCACTGTGAGCTATTCTTGATGTCTGAACAACTTGGTCCTCTGTTATAGTTTTGCTAGACTGCTGACTTGAGATCAGCATAGGCAATTGTTGCATCTGGGAGACAGGTCTTTCAGATACAAGTATTTCTTGTTGTTGCTGTTGTATAGCAATGTCTTCTTCTGTAGACTGTTCTGCATCCATATTTTTATCTGACTGTGGTTGCTTAGTGTTAGAAGATGAGTGTCCTTCTAGCTGAAAAGATGTCCCCACTGGGATGCCAGTAGATGTTTCAGGTGTTTCTATTATAGGGACTAATTTGTAAGAAATAGTTTCATTAAAATTAATTGCATTATTTTCATTTTGGCTTTCATAGGCTTTCTTACTGTATTTGGTGATTATGAAAGATTATCAGGGAAAAAAGTGTCATCAAATTGTTTATGGAACTTTTAAGAGAAAATTGAACTGTCTCCTCTATCTTACTTACTTACATGTTTCATAGTTTTGGTTATTAATTAATAAATTATTATAACACCACATTGTCACTAAAAGTGTTCTTTTGTAAATATCTTGAGTCTTACAATTTAATAGCCTGAATTTCATCCGATTACTTCGAGTCGTTATTACTCCCTTAGTAACGTCTGAATCAACCAGCCATTAATGCCGTCCAGTGACATCACTACTCCTTGACCTTTGCTTTAATTGAGGAGAAAACGACTCGAAGCAATCGGATGAATTTCAGGCTAACAATTTAAGTTTCAGCTAAGGTATTTTCCTCATACCTACTTTTTTCTTTACCTCCTGCTCATAAAATTGAGAAAACTCTGTTACGTATTAGTACCTTCCTCTTGTGACTTATTTTGGTGCCTTCCCATCCTGGTTTGTTCTTCTCGTGAGTGTTTTACCTTGGTGTTGACTTCTTGTATATTGTCAACAGTTTTTCTTGTTTCAAGGTTTAGCTGGGCTCTTCTTGTTGTTAAAGAATATAACCTGGGTGAAATGTCTTGTATGGTAAACAATGACACTATGAAAGGCTTTAAAGAAGTAGCTTATGGAGAAGAAAAATGAACAAATTTATTGTCTTCTGCTTTAGGCATTATTTCATAATGAGGTGTTCTCCATCAACAAAACATTTGGGAAAAAAACTGTTGACGTCAAGTATTAATACTGCATCTCCCCCAAAGTATCATGGCATTTTGTATTTTATTTTTCATATTATCCTTTGGAAACCCCTTTTGCAGTGGATACAGTTTGATGATCACTGGGATAGCTGATCTGAGTCCATTTTTAATTGTTTCTGAAATGAAAAGAAATTAATAGTTTTCAACTTTTTTTTTTCATTAAAGTACAAAAGAAAAAGATCTAGAGGTGAACCCAGTCCAGTTTAAACAGAGTGAAGAGTCTCCCCTTAAGGAAGGAAGATGTCTTTTACTTCACTTTCCAGTGCTTCTAAGATTTTCCCATGGCTGTAGGAGTGGTAGAGAACCACTGCAAATGTAAGAAAACATGGCCTGTGACTTCACCCAGTGTATGTTGCAATATGTATATTAGTGTCTAGTTCATTTGTGCTGAGGAATGGAGGCCTCAAGGGCAGGAATGCTTGCCTTGGCTTAAGAGTGGGCTGACAGCATCTATCTGAAACTCATAGCCTTTTATGCTGATCTCCAGATTCACTCTCATTAGTACATGTAAAGCATGTGGTTCAAATACTTGAAACACGACCAATTCATATTACTTTGTTCGGATTTGCATTAACACTAGGTGGTAGAAAGTGACCCATATCATATTCTACCTTGAATCTTTTTCTTTTCTGTTTCCATACTTGAAATGCCAGTCTCCAGTTGTTGAACTGTGGATCTTATCTCCTCCACTAGAAGGGGATATCAGACATGTAAAACGTGAATAAAAAAAATTAAGAATGGTTTTAACTGTGGTGGGTTCCATATCCTCTTAAAAGTGCTTTACTTTGTGACAACAAGGAAATACCCCTTTGTATAGAAACAAAGACTTCGAGTAGCCATAATGGACCTCAGGTATAGTAGAGCTTGCTCAACTCGAGAAAGGTGACCCTCAATTTCCACGCATGCCTTCATACTCTGCTCGCCCTACTACCCCTGAGCGAAATGAGGGACTGCTTGAAGCCACATTTCTTGGCCATTTGATGGGGGAAAAAATATGACAACTTGGGAATTTATTAAAAGGAGTGTTTGAGACAATTTAAGGGTGATTACTGACAAATACTTTCACTGGTTTAACCATTAAGAGAGCATTAATTTTTCATTGCTATAATGTATTCAGTCATATAAGCACATCACGTTTTAGGTCCCCTCTCACTACCTACCCACCCCCCCCCCCCCCCCCCCCCCCCCCTCTCTTTCTTTTCTCCCCCCCCCCCACCCCCCCCCCCTTTTTTTTTTTACTAAATCTTTTTCCCCCCTATTCTCCTCTCTTTTTTTTAAAAAAAATTTTTTTTTTACTTTAAATAATAAATATTCATTTTAATACTAATTTTTAAAACACAACACAAATATTTCTTTCTTTTTCTTGAGTGTTTGAGACAATTTAAGGGTGATTACTTACAAATACTTTCACTGGTTTAACCATTAAGAGAGCATTAATTTTTCATTGCTATAATTGATTCAGTCATATAAGCACACCACGTTTTAGGTCCCCTCTCACTACCTACCCCCCCCCCCCCCCCCCCCAACCCTTGTACTTATTGCCTATCCTCATCAAACACACACTCCCCTTATTTGCAATTACTAAGAGTTTAGCCTCCATAGTATGCAGTCTATGTAAGTAAAAAGATCATTATGTTGCCATCAAGTATTAACGCTACTATAGATACTTGAAGTTAAACAGCAACTCACATTGTTCCTTTTCTTGCATTGTATCCCTCTTTATCTTAGCAAGCTCCTTTGCATTTTCATTACTTTCATACTTAGTTTTGTATGTCTCCCAAATGGCCTGATACTTCTCCAGGACAGCATTGTTTTCCAACCTTAAATTATTAATTAATGGTGTAACGTTTTTGGTGAGAAATCACCTCAAATGTTCATAACTCTCTTCTTGGACAGTTTCAGTAAAATAATCATCCATTCAGAGTTGGCACTTTGCTTAGATTCCTTAGTAGGGTTTGCTAAACAAGAAATAGCCTGCGAGCCAGCTCTCTCATTTTGGCGAGCGAAGTGAGCCGCGCGCCCCTCGCGCGTTTACTTTTCGCAATATCCCCATATGGAGAGCTTGTACGCAGGCTTAACAAGAAACCAACATGTGCCAATTATTTGTTTAAAGGTGATGTTATTAGACTGCGAGCAGCGTCTTATTTTTCTTTGCAAAGTTACTGCGGGGTAAAAATAACGTCGTGGTTTGCAATCGCGCTGGATGAGATAAGAACTAAACGGATTTTAAGAGAAAAGGCGGACTGCAAGCAGTCTATGATGTTACAGGGAACGATTCGCAACGACGATTTTTAGCGTAACATAGCATCACAACATTGTTGCGACATTGTTTCGAATGGTTGCAACATTGTCCCAACACTGTTACCCTGTGTTGCGCTAAAAATCGTCGTTGCGAATCGTCCCGTGTATCACCTTAAGTAGGTGTAGATTTTTTTTAAAGGAAATTCATTCTATCAAAACTTGAGACGTCGCATCATTGATGGTATCTCTGATTGCTTAAATGTACAGCTATACCAATGGAAGCAATAATTTTCAGTGCGCGACATTTAAATGGCCTTTAAATTAATAGTCTTGCCTGGTTAGTTGCGTCTTATTTAGGACCATTTCTTTTTTCTTCTTTAAAGCTTCTTCGTGCTCTTGAAGAACACTGTTTGTTCGTTTCAAGCTGTAGATCAAAAGAATTATAAAATCATTCTGACAAACCATTTTCGTTACACGTGCTGCGAAGACGGGTGGAAAAGGCAGGCGAGTGAATAGAAAGTGTCGTTTTTTTTTCGACTGACTACAAAACCAGTTCTGACTTTGACAGAGATAACCTTGAGTGAGCTCATCGCAAGACCACCTCAGTCGCGAAATTCAGTAGGCATACGTAAAATAATAAAAAAAATGCTTACCTTTCGCATATCTCCCTGTTCTGAGTGAACTGTTTGTGTAATTGTTTGGCTTCCTCGTCAAGCTGAGTCGTGGACTTCTCTAACTCCTCAACTTGGCGTGTTTTTTCTTCCACTTGTCTCAAGAGAGCTTTATGTTTTTGACAATCAAAATGACGTCAACAGTTTTTCAGTACAGAAAAAAAAAACTATCACACTATCCCAAGACAAAATGGCTTTCGTTACTTTTATCTGCTTTTATAGAGTGACGGTCCGCAAGAAGACCGCTTGATAACGCTGCACCCGTGTACCTGTTTACCCGTGTACCTGTCAAAGTGCCTGTTTTGCACTTTGAGTAAAAAAGAAATTAATATGCAGGGACAGTGCAAAACGGGCAAGGTTTTTTTCAGTTGAAGGGCCAATATTTTTACTGACTAGTAAAAAGAGTCTTCTTCAAGGGACAGCTAATTATAAGTTCTACTAGTCAAAATATTGTCCATTAAAATAGCTTTGTACCTCATCTCGATTGCTTAATGCCTATACACTATTCTTGCATGATATCTCCATTTGTTTCATTGCTAGGTAGTACTTTTCAAAGAAATTGCTACAAACTCATTAATTAAGCTTATATTTTTCCAACAACTATCGACAAACGAACGTTGTTCTTTTTTCACTGGAGTTTTGATAAGTTTAAATGGTCTTTTTACTCAGACTTACCTGCATATCGTTGTCTTTCTGTTTCGATTAGTTTCACTTGCTCCAAATTTTCAAATTCTGTTGTGAGGTGAATTAAACAAAGAAGGTTGTTGCTGACTAGTAAAGCTTGAAAGAATCTGTTTTAACTGCTAAAGGTAGTTTTGTTGTCATTTCAACAAGATGTTAACAACGAAAGATAAGGTCTCAATGTAGTTTTACCGCTTCTATTTCCTTGAGAAACAATAACTGTAACTTTGATTCAACCCTTTCTCTAAAGATATTTTGATTTAAGTTTAAAGACCTGTAACATTGAAAATAAAGGGTAGACCCCAAACACAGCGCAAAGACATTAGCTGAATATTAAACTCACCTGCTTTCTGGATGAGTCTGTCAATTTCAGGCGAACTTTGTCGATGCTCCGCAAGCAGGTTTTGAGGGCTAACTGGAGAACCCAAATCTGACACCTGCATTTTCAAAATTAAGCAATTTTTTGCTGCTGGTACAACATGCGTTTTTGTTTTTGTCTTTACATTACAAACAGTGACCAGTTTGGTTTTCCTGCTGTCGCTTTCAAATGTCGGGCGTAAGTTGGTCGCGCCAATTTTTCCCGCCTTTTTTGTCGGGAACACGGCCATCAACCGTCCCACACTGACCCGTCCCGGAATGGATCGGAAAATGGAATTTTTAGCCCCGTACACGCACCTCAATCCCCCTTCCTTTCGGGGATCTCAATGGGGCTGATTGACTTTCAATTACTCGATTTATTTTTACTATCTCCCAAAACAGGCAAATCTACGTTTGCGGGCAAAAGTGTCTGGGAGCCCTGTAAAATCATGCATGGGTACAAGAGAGAATGCTAGCTCACTCTCCTTTGATGAGTACTAATGCTTCAGCTCATTGACCTTCTTTTATAAATATTCCATGTATCAATTTCTTTTTTTCAAGAAACCCTTGGCTAGCTCCGCGGGTGATTGGTATTGGGGCGGATCTAAGGGGAGGGTGCAAGGGGTGCGCACCCCCCCCCCCCCCCCCCCCCCCCCCCCCCTCTTACACCACCTCTTCTCCCCACAAAAAACCCCGGAGTGTTTTTTTTTTTATTTTAAAAAAAAGACAGAGACGGAGAGATTATGATTAAATAGCGAAAAAAACGACTGTGCNCCGTCCCGGAATGGATCGGAAAATGGAATTTTTAGCCCCGTACACGCACCTCAATCCCCCTTCCTTTCGGGGATCTCAATGGGGCTGATTGACTTTCAATTACTCGATTTATTTTTACTATCTCCCAAAACAGGCAAATCTACGTTTGCGGGCAAAAGTGTCTGGGAGCCCTGTAAAATCATGCATGGGTACAAGAGAGAATGCTAGCTCACTCTCCTTTGATGAGTACTAATGCTTCAGCTCATTGACCTTCTTTTATAAATATTCCATGTATCAATTTCTTTTTTTCAAGAAACCCTTGGCTAGCTCCGCGGGTGATTGGGATTGGGGGGGATCTAAGGGGAGGGTGCAAGGGGTGCGCCCCCCCCCCCCCCGCCCCACCCGGCTTTCTAATACAACTGGTATTCTGCAAAAAAAAAAACCTTTGTGGTTTATTGATGTTGAAGTAAAACATGAGACGAGGTAGGAGAATTTATGAGTAAACGCCGTAAAAATGGTATCTGCACTGACAATGTTCCAGCATTAATTATTCATTCATTATTGCCAAGAATTCTCTTCATACTGTAAAGGGTACAGCAGCAAACCTACGAAAGAATGGGCCATATTGGAGGCTTATATTGGAGGCTTATCAAATGATCGACGACGTTCGAAGCATTCTCAGAGAAATGCGTACAAACATTGAAGAAGAATTCCAAGACTGTTAACGTCAAATAAGCCAAACAAATCGCTAGTGAAGTAGGAGCGCTAGAAGACATAAAGGTACCACGTTACTCAGCTTGCCAACAACATCGTGCAAATGCACCAGCAGACACCCCATTACAATACTTCAAGCTCAGTGGCAGTTGGCGTACCTTTCTTGGACCATATCGACCAAAAAATGATCGAGTTAAAGGTTTGTAAGGAAAATCGGCAAGGTCGTGATCTTTTCTTGTTGGTCCTATGGTCGTATATGTTATCATTGTTAGATGAAATCAAATAATGGAAGTGTCACTACTGTCACTAGACCCTAAAGGAACCAGAAGACCCGACTACGTTGTTCGAGTGCTACCTCGCTGCTGTTAAGGACCGTTCACCCAACATCAAGGCGCTGTTAAGAATTGTACCCCTCCAGTAGGTAGTGCAGATGCAGAGCGTTCCTTTCCTTGCATGTCTGCGGCGACAAAAGACTTATTTAAGGAACAGAAATGAGTGAGGGTCGTCTATCCCATGCCACCCAGCATTTATGAACATTCACAATGAGTTTGAAGTGAACACTAACAAAGTTATCGAGGAATTCAACAACACGAATAATCGTCGCCTATTCTCAAGAAGCTTCCTGCTCGGCTAATTACAACCAAGCTGGGAATTTTCGGTCGGTAAGAACGGTACGTGTCGATTACCATTTGCCTAAAATTTCCGGATTGTCGCGCCGCGCTAGAGTGGATGCTAGTTACAACATGAAACTGGTACGAAACTCAAGAAACTTGTAAATATGGTAAACGAATTTCCATTTGGAAAGTCCAAATCAGGAAAACGGGACTACCTTTTCAGAATTTCCGTTTGTCCCGGGAATTTTCCAGTAGGAAGAAGCAAATANAGAATTGTACCCCTCCAGTAGGTAGTGCAGATGCAGAGCGTTCCTTTCCTTGCATGTCTGCGGCGACAAAAGACTTATTTAAGGAACAGAAATGAGTGAGGGTCGTCTATCCCATGCCACCCAGCATTTATGAACATTCACAATGAGTTTGAAGTGAACACTAACAAAGTTATCGAGGAATTCAACAACACGAATAATCGTCGCCTATTCTCAAGAAGCTTCCTGCTCGGCTAATTACAACCAAGCTGGGAATTTTCGGTCGGTAAGAACGGTACGTGTCGATTACCATTTGCCTAAAATTTCCGGATTGTCGCGCCGCGCTAGAGTGGATGCTAGTTACAACATGAAACTGGTACGAAACTCAAGAAACTTGTAAATATGGTAAACGAATTTCCATTTGGAAAGTCCAAATCAGGAAAACGGGACTACCTTTTCAGAATTTCCGTTTGTCCCGGGAATTTTCCAGTAGGAAGAAGCAAATAATCGTTTATTACCATTGTGACATTCCAACCGGAATTTGTGGTAAATGGTAAACAACCTATATTTCTAAGATCTCACCAAATAGGCACCCAATTCATTTTTTAGCCCCTAAGGATACCAGAACTGTGAGTAGATATAATCTGAGAACCTGTTCCAAGCATAAGGTAGGATCCGGAGACAGGAGCTTCTGCCGCACACAACGCTCAAGTTCTTTTAAAACGCATTTGCGTATCATGATTAGAATATTGACTTGTAAGTATTATATAGCAGGACATAGTTTTGATTAGCAATTAAAAATTGTGTTTTAACCCTGTAATTCATTTTTTTTTTTTTTGCTACAATGAGGCTAACAAACGGTCTTTAATATTATTATTGTTATATATTATTATTATTATTATTATTATTATTATTATTATTATTATTATTATTATTATTATTATTATTATTTTATTTTTTGCAGGTTTGTGAAAAGCCGTCCAACATTAAAAGTAGCTCCGGAATCTTTGCTAAAGAGGGATTTTTTGTTGTTGTTAAATCACACGCGCATAGCATGTGATTCAAGGAGTAGAAGGAAGAAAAAAGAAACAAGAAAGAAGGAAGGAAAGTGAAAAACGGGAAGAGCTGTCCATGATACTTCGCGGTCATGCCTTATATACGGGAGGCACTGCTCGGTTTTTTCAGGGGCGCGCCTTCGTTTGCAATCCGCGGAAAGGGAACCACTCCCAACGACTGTAGCGAGCGCTTCTCCTGTGTGTTATAACCTATTTTGCGAAGAAGGAACATTTACTATCACTGTTTTATCATTTGATGCGGTTTTTGGGCTTGCTGCAGTGTTGAATCAGCGGCGAATCTCCGGATTAGGAGCGGCGGCAGGCGTTTGGTGACGACTGTGGCCATTTGCCTTGTAACATTCGGCGCAAGTGTGAAGAAAAAATAAGGCGAAAAGATGCAGCAACAAACCCAGAGCCACGGTCAGAACGAAATAGAAGCTCTCAGGCAAGAAGCTGAAGTACTCAAGGCGCAGATCAGGGTAAGTATATACATAGTTGCTACATAACAACACCGCAAGTGGGTGAAACATCGAAGGCAGAGATGACAAAGTTTGATCGCTTTCGAAAATGTGGTATTTACGCTGTATACAATCATAAACCGCTCGGTCTTGCCCAAATGCGAGCATATTTTCGAAATATGTCGCATTTTGGTCTTTTACATGTACACTGTGTCTTTTTAACGCCGTTTTGTTGTCGGTGATCGCGAAATCGTTCGTCGTTGGTGGGGGTCGCCATTAGATGTCTCCATCGAATGCCACGCGATCTATGCCAGTGTATGCAGTATTGTTTCACCGAAATATAGATTAGAATTCTAATATTGTTCCAAGTTAAAGAATTTGTGCCTTTTCGCGCTGTATTGATTCGATTTAACTCGTAAAAGCTCGGTATATTCCAAGCAAGTTATTCTTGCTGTGTGTTTATTGTTAGCCGGGAGCAGTTTTCAATATCCCTAAAGAATATTGTATTCATTAAGCTTATAGCTTATGCCGCAACAGAAGGAAGGAAAGTATGCTTGTGATACAACTTAAACGCTGTCTGTGAGAGTCTGTTATCACGATGAGCTGATAAAGTGGACTAAAAATTCGAATATGTGGATCAAGGTCGAAATTTTACTGTAGCTAATCTGCCATGACAAGTTAGCATCGTCGCAGTAGAAACTCGATTGCAGCTTGATCATTAAAAAAATGGCAAAGCTAATGTTGTCGAAAGCAACGTCAGGAAAATTAGATTTGCTTATTCAGACCGGTTTCGAACCTCGTTAATTTCGTTAAGGCTTAGTTTGGCCTGGACTTGGTCAAGGAAGGTTAAAACATGTGCTTAAAATCGATTACGGTGCGATATTTCGTGGTCCAGGTTGTTGAGTTTGTGTCGCTCGCTCCTTGATTACAATATCTTTTTGCGTTATAGTTGGTGGCGTTTAAAACGATCAGAGGAAGAAGAAGTTTTGCCTTGGGTGTTAAAATAATTTCTGTATCTGAAGCGATTCCCTCACGCGCGAAAGTGTTTTTTTTTTTACATCCTCGAGACGTTCGAAATTGAAAGCTCGTTCCTTTTGTGTTCGCTCTAGATGAACGAAACGGAAGCAAGTTATAATGGATAGTCGTATCCTTTCTTACTGCTTGTGGAATAGCATCTATCTCTTCGTTAAACTATAGCACAGCTGAATTAAAAACGATTCTTGGGAGCTTAGTGTAGGAAGGCAAGAAAACAGAACAAACACTTTTTCTTTCAAAGATCAAATGGCTTTTATAAGTTTGTCCCCAATTTGTGACGGATAATCTTGCGTTCATGAATCATGACGCGATTTTCTCCTCTCCAAAGGTGTGTCCGTGGTTTTTACTCATCGTTTCTCTGGTTGTATCCTAGGAATTAAAAATTCTTCGTTTGTTAACGTCTGTAGCTTGTATATGTTCTTCAAGGTCTTTTATGATTAACGCAAACAGTTGTGTTTTTTTTATCTGAAATAAACAATGCAGCTTTGGTATGAACTTCCAGCTCGCTGTTCCTTCTAAAAAGACAAAATTGCTTTTTACAGAGTTCCTTTTTTTCTTCTGTTAAGTTATGATTTGACTGGTGTGGTATCTTGCACTGTGTAAACCATGATGTGAGATATTTTTGCATGATATTGGGTACTCATTGCTCTTATAGCCTGAACGAGGTTTGTTAGATCCGTTGAAGACCTGGAGTTCCGTGTTATGTGCTTACCGTATTTCCTCTTAACAGAAATCAGTTTCATGTTAACTAAAGTGGAAGAATTATTTTGACCAAAAAAACAAGTTTTTTGGCCTAGGAAAGGAAATTTTGATCGCATGTTTCAATTGGTGGTAACACATAGCAGTCCATTGGCTACAAACATATCAATGGGGAAGTGTTGCTATTATTCGTGACAAAGCAAAATTCATGTGACTTACTTACTGTTCACATGTTTTAAGGCTTATACTTGTTAAAAATCTCTATTTTTTTAGACAACCGTTTGAAGATTTGAACTGGGTTACATAATGTTATCTTGGTGATGCTTGAAATATATATGGGTAGAATGGCTCTCGTAACAGTGTTACCCTTCATTTGATGTTTTGTTCTTGTCCTTCAGATTTTACCAGATTAGTTTATTTGATATACAATGTTGTAGCAATGGGGTGTTCAGTATACTGATTTGTGTCTTTGTGAAATGTTGACTTTGAGAGTTGTAGCTTGCTGAAATCTTTATGTTGAGCCTGATTGTCAGTTTGATCTGTATCTTCACCCATTTTGGGTGGATGTGAGGTGACTCAATTTGGCTATTAGTGGTGTGTAAGAAACAGAGTTTGATGTAGGCCCTCTTGAAGGCTCTCAAGATAGCAAAATTAAATTGTAGCCATGGAAATGTCTAGTTTGCCAAAGGAAATGTTGAGCAATTTAAAGAGGCCAGTTTTGTTTTTTGAGCAGAGAAGTCTGGCCACCATTGCATTTATGCACGTTTGTGTACCTTTGTTATTCACTGGGATTTTGTCAGGAGTGGGGCACATTTTTGTTTGGTGTAACTGTGTAATAGCCACCCAGGTGACACTTCAGCCTTTGTTTATCTAGAAGAGTGACTCTCAATTAATATTTTGGGGCTTTATGCGATAAATCCTTACAAAGAAGGTGGATTTTACATAATCGTCCTGGTCAACGGGATAATTTCCAATGCATACTTTTGTAGTGTGCAAACTTCACTGACTTAACTTTATAATGTGTTAACTTTTGTATTTACAGGATGCAAGAAAGGCAGTATGTGACACATCACTGGCGCAAGTAAGTTTAGGACGATATTGGCTTCATTGCAGTTTAAAAAGCAGGATGCTAGAAAAAATGCTGGTCATTGTTGTGGAGGAGGCAAATAATGAATGTAACAGTGCCTAGTGATATAAAATAGACATTTCCGCTGCCTTTTGATATGCACATACATAATTAATTGTCGGTATAACCTGATGGAAATTGTCTCAAGTAGTTGTTTGTAAATCCGTCATAATTGGTTCAAACACATTGTCCGCCTATATCCCTTGGTGAGTTTTACCCACAGACATGACAGAGCTTTGTGAAAGTTATGACTAAGGTCTACAGTCGACTCTTTCTTAACGGATACAGTCTAACTTCTCCTTACGGACACCTCTATAATACGGACACCTCTCTTACAGACAGTTTGTTTGGTCCCAGAAAGAACAAAAATCTTACATTCGCTACCTCTATAATACGAACACTTCTGTGAAGTGGACACTTGGTTCTGTCCCTTTGGTGTGAATATTAAAGAGGTTTGACTGTACCTCTTTTAGACAAAGGCCTGGTATTGGTGCCTGTCGCTTTTCATTCGTTTTATTGTAACTATGCTCTCCGTAAGGCGGACACTAGATTCTTTTGAAACCGTCAACGGACACTAAAGAATTGCTTTATTCAGTGAAAAATACCTCTAAATGGAAATATAGGTGCTTTACGCAATAGTAAATTATGCTATTAGACCACAAAGCCTTGAATGTTTGCTTGTAATGAATGTTTGATTGCATAATGTTACAGTGTTCCAGTTTTAGCTGTTTTGCATAAGTTAACAGACATGCATTCATCGCAAGTGGGTTCAGCTTAAGTTTTTACTGGTGTCACTTTACCGTGTCTCTCTAGAAACCGGACACCTCTCTAAGACGGACAGTTGCGTCAATGCTGAAGATGTCCGACTTATAGAGAGTTGACTGTAGTGCTTAATTTAATAACTTTGTCATAGTAAAGTGCTTTTATTTATCTTCCAGGTAACACACAATGTCGAACCTGTCGGCAGAATACAGATGAGAACTAGGAGAACACTCCGAGGTCACTTGGCAAAAATATATGCTATGCACTGGGCAACCGACTCAAGGTAGGTGGCTGTTGGCTTGGTGATGTGCGAGTTTTCATCTTGGAAATGTTTTCTGTAGTGTCAGAACCGATTTCTGTTGACCCAAACTTTTTTTTTTCATTTCAGAAATTTAGTAAGCGCTTCTCAAGATGGAAAACTTATTGTATGGGATTCTTATACGACAAACAAGGTATTTGTAATGATTTTGTCCAACATACTAAGCTGCTGAAAAATGCAGCAATAAATAGATTTAGTTTAAAATTATGGTAGTGGCTGTCAGGATTGAGCTTGTGTTAATTCAGTTGGGCTTATTAACTTTCTTCGACTGAAAAGGGGGGCTTATCAGAGGATTTACATTAGTTTCAGATGTGAACTGATAATTATGGCTTTCCTTCCCTCCCCCAGGTTCATGCGATACCTCTTCGATCCAGCTGGGTAATGACCTGTGCTTATGCACCGTCTGGAAATTATGTAGCATGTGGTAAGTTTGTGTTCTTTTTTGGGGGGGAGACATTTTTAAAGCTCACAATTCTTGATTCAACTGATCTATGGACCAAAATCAGTTAGAAAAAGTTTCCTGTCGCATACATTTCAAGCCATGATGAATTCCTTCAACATTTCACATTGCATGTTAACAACTTTTCTCCACCGCTGTCAAAGTATGTTTTTGTTGAAAGTCTTCATATATATTTGGGTAAAGGGGTCAGTGGGTTTATATTTAATGTTTTTATGACGTTTGGTTGTCAGGTGGTTTGGACAACATCTGCTCAATTTACAGTCTAAAAACAAGAGAAGGAAATGTTAGAGTCAGTCGAGAGTTACCGGGACATACAGGTATGCAGTGTCACCATAAAGGTGGAAAAGTTTATACTGTGAATGTTAAGACAACCACTTTCATATGGCCCTGGAGTTTCACCGCGTTTTTGTACTAATATTTCTGTTTTCTCATTTTATAGGATACTTGTCATGTTGTCGTTTTACGGATGACAATCAGATTCTTACTAGTTCTGGAGATATGACCTGGTATGTTGGTTTATGCTACATGAAGATAGTAGTATTGTATTGGGAATCAGCTGAGATTAAATGATCAATTATCCAAAATAATCAGATTGACCCAGATGATCAGTCATTGATTATAGTCGGAGATATCTCTTGTAACATTTCCCTACATTTTTCTTTTATGTGCAAGTTGAAGAAATATAAACTTTTGAGATATTTTAACTGAAGGCTTCTTTTTTTCTGACAATCATTTTGTGGATGAGACAAAACTCTTTCAAGTCAATAAAGGGAATCGAGCATGGCTGCCGCACCTTGTTGTAGAACAAGAGGAAAACAAGAAATGTATCAGAAAAGGGTCATGGATGGATTATTGCTACATGATGAGTCCATCTGTTATTTGTTGTCAATTTTTTATTGTTCTTCCCCAATAATCGATTTAAGAATTTGCATAATTGCATCACTCAAGGTTTTTGATTGATGGTCGATCATAATCAATGATCAACACATCAATAGATGATAGAGTCGGAGAAAAGTTAAAGATACTCTTGTAATGGCTCTGTCCAAGGCTGTGCTCCAAGGAAAATTGAAAGAAGCCCAGTGCCCTGAAACTGTAAAATCTAGGGTGTCCATCATAATTATGATTTGGATGAAAAAACTAAGATTTTCTAGTTGCTTGAGAGCAAAAGCTGGGTGCTAAAGGTCATGCCGTTACTTTGCAACACCAGAGAGCTATTCCCATAAGGTGGCTACAGTTACTGAAAGAGGAGCCAACCACTATTTGGGATTTTAACAATGGTATCAATGATATATAAAAAGTAAGGTAGGGATTGATATGCAGTTTTTATATTTCTTAAGCTTGTTTCCACATAAGGACCTTGGTTTCTCAGATTGTGAAAACTGCTATGATCCATACACTCATTATAGGCTGTGGAACTCAGCTAGCCTATAATGTTGACTGTGTTGTTTGTTATGATGATAAAGGTGATATTTGTAGTGATTTGTCACAATAACAGATCTATTCTTTTTTGTCTTTAGTGCACTTTGGGATATTGAAACTGGACAACAAACCACGACATTCAGTGGACACACTGGAGATGTAATGAGTCTATCATTGTCCCCCGACAGCAAGTCTTTTGTATCAGGAGCCTGTGATGCCTCAGCAAAGGTATTAACCTTGACACCTTTATGGATACACCATATATAAGCCTTACGACATGGGGGTCAGGTTGTTATGTGCTTTTACTGAAGGGATGAATCTATTTGCGTTTATCTCTTTACTCTTGTTAATCTGTTGTTATGGGTAATGCTACCACTTCTAGGAAATTTTGGGGGAGTTTTGTTCTTTAACTCTGGGAGATATACATTAACATTGCTTTCCTGTTCTTTAGCTGTGGAGTATACAAGATGGTATCTGTAAGCAAACTTTTACTGGACATGAATCAGACATCAATGCAGTAGCAGTAAGTATTCAGAACATTTTTTCATAAGAGTCCTGAAGATTCACTTTTTGTCTCAGCTGTGCATGATGTCATGTTTGTGTATGAAGCTTGTCTTCTTTAGCATTCTTGCTGATTTTCTATTGTGTTTTTAGTACTTCCCCAATGGATCAGCTTTTGCAACAGGATCTGATGATGCCACATGTAGACTGTTTGACGTCCGTGCTGATCAGGTGAGGCTACACTTTTAGTTAAGTTCTCTTCCATCAGCGTGCAATGAAAGTGGTGTCCAAAGCCCGGAGCAAGTGGATTTTGCTATCAGGCTGAGGATTCAAATTGCATAAGAACTGCAATCAGACCGGCTTGTCAGAAAGGCAAACTGTGACTCAGACTTTCTTTGCACCAAGACTGCATTGCACATGTAATTTAATTTGGTTAGTACATTCTGTATCATCTGTGAAGCAACGCTGATATCCTTGTTCTGTTGTGGGCCCCCAGTTGATTGAACAAATTACCAGAGGTGTGTTTCGAATTTCTCTTCATCTTGATTGGCAAATTGAGAGTGGCTTTTTAACAGGCCAATCTTGGTGCGTACTCAAATCCTGGTACATAGGTGAGGGCCCAGAACAAAGATTTCACAGACAGATATAACCAGAGTTTGGTTTCATCTATGACGCAGGCTATTTTGCGCCCTGCCTTTTGTGCAGTATGTATCGTCAATTGGAATGAGTCAGTCTCCTACATAGACGTTTGGTAATCTTGAAGTACTTCATCTGTTTCTAATCCACTGTGCTTTGTTTTGTTTTGTCAAAAACAGGAGCTCATGGTGTATGCCCATGACAATATTATCTGTGGAATTACCTCAGTGGCTTTCTCCAAGAGTGGCCGTCTGCTGTTAGCAGGTTATGATGATTTCAACTGCAATGTGTGGGACACATTGAAAGGAGAGAGAGCCGGAGTATTAGCAGGACATGACAACCGTGTCAGTTGTCTGGGTGTCACTGAAGATGGCATGGCTGTTTCCACAGGAAGCTGGGATAGTTTCTTGAAGATATGGAACTGATCTTGGTGAACCCCCCCTCCTCCCCTCCCTACTTCTAAGAGCAAAGTTTTAGTGTTTATATTTTATATATTGCGATATAAGTTGTGGTTTTCATTGGATGGTGCAAGCCCTAAATGACATGTACACTGCTTGTCTGTGTCGCCATTGCCTGTCGATGAATTATTGTATTTTAGATCTTACACTTAAAGAGACAGTATTTGTGATGCTGTTCCTTACATTTCACCAAGGGACGTTTGAGTCACCTTGTATCGCAAAAACAACAACCTTACTTAGATTTGTGCGAGCAGAAGATGCGCATTGTAATGAATTGTCAATGTAAAAAATTAAATTTCTTGCAGATCTACATAGATGACTATACTTATACTATTAGGTATTAATTAGGAAAATGATACATGATTTACATTTTGGTTTTTCTCAAATAATTTACCTGCGGCAGAAGTGACTGCTATAAACTATAAGAGAGTTACTATAAAGTATTTCTGCCAATAACTATAATGTGCACAAATATAAAGTTTTGTTTTCTGGTCTGTGTATTCTGCTCCTGTCGCTTCAGAAATTGTGAATATGAATATTGATATTATGTGTCAACTTTGTCACGATGCTATGTGTAAAAAAATAACTGTGCAAACAACAGCAGCAGTGGGTCGAAGGAACTGGAATCGCTCAACTAACACAAATCCCTATCCTTGTTAATCACGAAAGTTTCTTTTAATCTCCCTAAATGTTTGACAGGTTGTGGAGTAATTTTCAGGGCTCTGCTTTAACACTGCCTGGTTGCGCATCCTTGATTTTTAACCCTTAAGTCACCAAATCCACACATTCTCCATATTGTTCTACATAGATTTGTGATGGAGTAATACTGGAATCAAGGTGGCTAGTAATCTCTTGTTTGATGAAGCAGCGGTGATTTGGCAAAAAATGAATGCTGATTACAAAAAGAGACCTTAATATATAAAATGCTTTGATGAGTAACTTGGTTTTGAATTAGCACTTGAAGAAAAAGAATCCATCGGCTAGATGCAATTTTTCTTTTCCTTGATTAAAACCTTTGGAAAGGGTGGCTGTGAAACTTGCATTAGATTGAAAAAAGATGCTCTCCTGTCGCCTCATGTGCAGGTCTTGCTTACACACTCCACCTTCCGAATTTTGTTTGTTTGTTTTAAACAAACACCTCTTAGGTGACAACTTTTTCCAGTTCCAAGAGAATCAAGAAAAAAAACATGTTCGTAAGGTTTTTTTTCCGTTTTGGTCTAATCCCATGGACTGCATGTTTTTTTTTTGCCTCAGTTGTGACAGGAGAGGCTTATCTTTCTGTTTTGTAATACCAGTTCATCTCTACCCTTTGCTGTTGTCATGCTTGAGCGGAGTAACTCGTAGGGTATGTTACTGTTGGTAGCAGTCAATGGCCTAAAGGTGTAATTCTGGTCGTGAAACCGACTTTATATTGTCATTGTGAAATGTGAGTCAATAAAGATCAATTCTTCAATGTAACTTGTGCATAGTGTATCTCAGTTATTCATGAGTCAAAGTTTTTCAAAGTCGCCTTTTGGGGACAAGAAATTATAAAATGGTCAAGTGCTGTTTTTTTAAGGCCTCGCGAGAGTCCGTAATAGCGGGGTGCGAGAGACAAGAGAAAATTGTCTCTTTAAACTTATGAAATAACATGTTAGTCCCAGAGGCATTCTAGTTTCGACAATCATTTTTTCTTATTTTAATTATGGACCGTAAGATTAAATGTGCTGTATTATTACTTCCAAGCTGCTTCAATGACAAGGGATACATAAGAAGGGCTTAAAAAATAAACGGAAATTCATCCAGTAACGTGGATGGCTATGAATGTTGACTTGCTGTCTAATATGTTTCTTTATATTGTTCTTGGCAGCTCTTTATCGCAGACATGCTGTACAGTGTACTCATCATGGTAACAGAAACCTGTCTAACAACTTTGACAGTAGAGTGTTATACTAACCCAAAATGTCTGTAAGCTCTAAAAATGCTGTAAAGTACAGTCATTTGTTTACTCTTTTACAAAGAAGCGGTCGATGAGGGCGTGCACGTTTCCTGTAGATTTACTAACTAATGAAAGCAGTTTCTACTTGGCACATGGCCGGCGAAATTGGCAACTTTCCGGTGCTGCAATTTTAGTCGCCAAAATGTTTTTCTACTCACCATGGCAATCTAAATGGCACATAACATCCTGCTATATTTGTCGGAACTGGGCAACGCCAGGCCAGATTATGGAAAAGGAATATCCCCAGATCCTTTTCTTCTTTAGACAATGAAATCATGTTAGGCCCAAGCTGGTACTTAAAAATGGTAGCGTCTTTCTTGTTAGTTACACGAAAATGTTTGCGATTTTACGCGGGATGACTTATGGTCAGCCAGCGTCATAAATTCGGTTGCGCATTCCTTTCGTATTTTTCTTTGCAGTCAAAAATTTTCTTGTTTTTGTTTTTTTGTTTTGTTTTTAACTTTCGCGTATCCAATGCCCGTCCCGAAAAATTGTTTGATTTTTACTGGCTGCAACTTGGAATAATGGGCAAGTCAGATTGGATTGCACAAGCAGTAAAAAGATACTGCCTCAGCAAAGGAGGGAAAAGTATAAAGCTTACTGCGTAGAGGAGGACAAAGTCAGGGCTGTGACCTAACTTACATGTAAAGCGCCCGGCTGCCTGACCTTGGGTGACTGAAAATATTGTCCAGGTCACCCAGTTAAACGTGACAAGCTGCACATTTTTCGATTTTAACAGCTTTTCAAAATAGCATTGAAATTTTTAAAATTAGGATGGTTCAGTAGTTAGTTTTTCAAAAGAAATTGTTACTTCTGCTCTAACAGGAACAAAGAACGTTCGGCGACGCAAAACAAAAGTTTTGTATTTTAAAAAACGGGCGTAATCTCAGTTCTATGAGGTTCTATGAGAATGAGATATTTTTACCCGGTTTTTACTGCTGTGTCTGCGAGGCTAAAACATAACTTAAGATTTTTATTCCAGTAGAATACGATGCATAAAAAAACGAAAATATACGAGTATTTTTATGATCGTTTTAGAAAAAGGTATGTAAATCTATAAAGTCCCTCATTGTCATTGGTGTCGTGACAAGTACGTATCACGTACTACAAATAGATACCACCAGATACGCAAAAGCTAAATTTATCGGTCAAAATAGAGCTAGTTGGCTACCGAATCCACAAAAAGCTCATTTCTCCTAAACATTTCACCGATAATATGAAACGACGACTTTGCAACAGGAACATCTATTCAAGAGAGATAACAGTTCTGTGGCGGCAACGGTTTCGTTGAAATTCATAGGAACTTTCCAAAAAAGCTCCACTGGATCTTAAGAGAATTTTCTTTTCAACCTAAACGATTAGTAAAAGAATAGTCTCCTTATTTTTGACCCAAACATTTGCATAAACAGACCACAATGGTACTTGCTGACTCCTCTGTCTCCTGTGTCCCTTGTGCCCCTTGTATCCCCTTATGTACCCTTTCCCCTTGTGTCCCCTGTGTCCCCTTGTGTCCCCTTGAGTCCCCTGTGTCTCCTTATGTCCCCTGGGTCTCCTTGTGTCCCCTTGTGTCCCCTTGAGTCCCCTTGTGTCCCCTGTGTCCCCTTATGTCCCCTGTGTCTCCTTGTGTCCCCTGTGTCTCCTTGTGTCCCCTGTGTCCCCTTGTGTCCACTGTGTCCCGTTGTGTCCCCTGTGTCCCCTTGTGTCCCCTTGTGTCCCCTTGTGTCTTCTGTGTCCCGTGTGTCCCTTGTGTCCCCTGTCCCGTGTCCCTTGTGTTCCCTGTGTCCCCTTGTGTCCCTTGTGTTCCCTGTGTCCCCTTGTGTCCCCTGTGTCCCCTTGTGTCCCTTGTGTCCCCTTATGTCCCCTTTCCCCTTGAGTCCCCTATGTCCCCTTATGTCCCCTGTGTCCCCTTGTGTCCCCTGTGTCCCCTTGTGTCCCTTGTATCCCTTTGTGTCCCCTGTGTCTCCTAGTGTCCCCTGTGTCCTTTTATGTCCCCTTGTGTCCCCTGTGTCCCCTTGTGTCCCTTGTGTCCCTGAGTCCCCTTGTATTTCTGTGTTCCCTTGTGTCCTCTGTGTCCCTTGTGTCCCCTGTGTTTCCTTTTCCATTTAAAAAACTTGAAATATTTGGCCTCGTTGCCCTTGCTTCTTATGTGGCATAAAAACTTCCGACGGGTTTCATTTCTTTTTTATGACAACATGCCGGTTTTTTTCTAACGCTCAGGAGGTTAAAGGATGTGAGTTTTCATGAAAATAAAAAATCAAAACACAAAGTTCTGCTTGAGTTGCTGAGAAAATAATTTGATTAATTTGTAATAGTCAACTAACAGTTAACTGATTGATTAATTTCGGCGACTAACTTGGAGACCCGGGCACCCCAGATAAAATGTTTGGGAGCCCGAAAGGCTCCCCGAAAGTTTTATTTGGGCGACCATCTTTTAGGCCTTGGCACCCCAGCTAAAATGCTTGGGACGTCTCCCTTGAAATTTTCCTTAGAGCACAGCCTTGCGCCCTGAAGTTTTTGGAAGTCTGATATATTACATGCTATGAGTGAATGTTGAAGTGCATTTATTGGGGATATGAGTAAAGCCGGAATGCAAATTTTAGTGGGCTACCCTATACTCCTAACATATATGGTGGTAATATTGATGTAAGTTTTGTTTTGAGTAGCAAAGGAACCCTTGTGTGTAACTCATCTTCTAGTGTATTGAACAGAACATCTCCGTCTCTCCTGCACACATTTGTTGTTGTTACACTGCTCAACTTTCCAATGCCATTCAACATAATTATTACTTACATCAACACATCCCGCGTAAACGCCTTCAGGCGTCTTCTTGTTTAAAATGAAAGTTCCAGGTTGCTCCAGTTAAAGACGGAAAATAAGTCCTCTTGCAGGATGCGACGGTCGCCTTGGGAATTTATAACTCTACATTTGTTTGCATCATCAGCGTAAGGCGGAAGTAAATGAGAAAGAGGACAAAGCCAATCAGGAAACCCTGTAGGACACCCGATGTAACTGGTTTCCAGCAAGAAGAAGAGCCATCAATGATTACACAGTGGTGTCTGTTTGTTAGATAATCTGCAACCCAGCTTAGAAGGGATCCCGGAAACCGTAGTACCTCAGTTTGTAGAGTAGCTTCTGATGAGGCACGCTGTCTAATGCTTTCGCCATGTCTAAAAATATGTTATCTATTTTACCACCATTATCCATGGATGAAGCCAAGAAATGAACGTAACGTGTTGTATTAACTGAGATACACAAGATCTATTGGGTCGGAAGCCATGTTAGAGAGTATTTAGGACTGGGTAGACTGGGTTAACATGATTACAAATTCTAAGACACATTTCTACAGCACCTTAGACAGAATTGAAAGTTGTGCAATGCCTCTAGTCAGACGCAATGTTGTTGGAACCTGACTTATGAACAGGGATAAGGTTGGCCTTCCAGCTAATCGGGAAAATTTTATTCCATGGGAGAGTGATTGGCTGAATATCAAGGTAAGTGGGGCTGCAATGTCATCAGCAAGTTCTTTTAAAAATCCAGCAGTTACATCATATGGCCCAAGTTTCAGATTCGAGTTCTTGTCCGAATACTTGTCCGATCTTTCGTCTGATTTTTTTGTCCGATTTCTGGCCCCATTTTCATGTCTGATTTCATGTCCGATTTCTTATCCGATCTTTCGTCCGATTTTTTGTCCGATTTCCTGTCCGATTTGTTCTTCGATTTCTTGTCCGATTTCATGTCTAACCTTTCCTCCGATTTTTGTCCGATTTCATGTCCGATTTTTATGTCCTTTTTCATGTCTGATTTCTTAAACAATCGTTCGTACGATTTTTAGTCCGATTTTTTTGTCCGATTTCTTGTCCGATTTTTTTTGTCCTATTTCATGTTCGATTTGATAGGCTTCTGTTCATGTCCAATCTTTCGTCTGATTCTTTTGTCTGATTTTCATGACCAATTTCTTGTTCGATCTTTTGTCCGATCTCATGTCCGATTTCTAGCTTGTCTGAATTTTCATGTCCAATGTATTGTCGATCTTTTGTCCCATCTCATGTCCGATTTCTTTTCCGATCTTTTATCCGCTTTTTTCGCGATTTCTTGTCTGATTTCTTGTCCAATTTCCTAAAGACAATACCCAAAGAATAATCTCGTACCCCGATCTCACTCTGTTTCCTTTCCCTTGGCCGTGGGAGATCTGGGTACGAGATTACCAGAAGAACTGATCAGTTTAAGAAAGAAGTATTTTTTGACTAGTAGTAGAAAGTGAACTGAACAACTGATAACTCGTTCCTGATGGGAACAATAGGATGTAGGCCAGGAGGCGGAGGTTCGCTATCAGGTGGGCTGAGGATTGAATGAAATAGTCATTGACGTCATTAAAAAGGTTGGCTTTAGCAAGAGTGTCGTCCAGGAAACGTAGAGCTTATGATCACAAAATTTAGAGACGCTATTTTATCCATTGCTGATCCAAAAACACATAGACCTACGATCCTTCAACAGAATAAAATGGATAAGCAAACCGCCCTTCCCCCCGAAATCAAGAATGCGGTGTGCATAAGAGCGGAGACAACTTAAATCCTGCGAATTATAGACCTATCTCGCTAACATGCAAAGCGACTCAAGATCTCGAACATACTGTCCACAGCAACGCGATAAAACATTTGCAACAAAACTGAAGTGCAACGTGGCCTTATGAGCAAAACTATATACGGTAACACATCCAGTATTGATTTTGACTATTGACGATGTGGCAAAGACTATTCAAGATGGAAGGTCATGCTCGATTTTCAGCTTTCGATAAGGTCGCTCGCAAACGTCTCTTAGGAAAGTTACAGATTTTATGGTGTTCGTAGTCTCGTGAACAATTGGTTTGAATCATTCTTTACGAACCGCACTCAAGGTCTGTTCTCTGTGATGGCAAATTCTCCATCCCTTCACCATTGACATCAGGGTTTCCGCAAGGTACAGTTTAGGGCCACTACTATTTCTACTCTTAGTCGACGATCTGTCTGACAACTTAAAATCCTTAGTCAGGGTACTTGCTGACGATCCATTGCCATATGGTGTCGTCTTAACTGAGAGAATCAAGTGATGATACTGATGACCTGTCGTGAATACCCAGATTAGTTGAAAATTTTCTTCAGCCAATCAGAAGAGCTATGCAGATCTGGCTAATGACACGTCATCAGTATGGATTCTCAGACGTCATTTCGCAAGGAAACCAGTGAAGTGTCGCGAAATGCCGGCTGTTTTCTCCGGATAGAGGATAGACTAAGTAGCGAGGAGGGAAAGTTTTGGATGAGGGGCTGCGAAGAGGGAGTAAAGCCGCGAGAATGGTGCCTTCGCCGCCAAAACTCTCAAAAGCGCAAAAACAATTTCGCAAGCGATGCAGGCTAGCTAGATGAGGGCCATTTGAACCAACGACAAACTCAACCCAACATACGACGTTTCCTCCGGCATATGCAGCCTTACCACAATAGTCTGAAGGAAGTGACGCATGTCAACCGGAAGTGGTCGGGCATGGCTTTCGAAGAAACTAAGCAAGTGTATGAACGTATTTTCGTTTCAATTCCAAACGAATAAGAAGGGAAAAGTAATATGCAAATTCAGAAAGATTTTAAGACATCTTTTTGTTGGCGCTATTATCTAACTAAGGACGACATAATTTCTGGCTATGTATTTCTGAGGCCAGGTCTGAAAACGGGTATGGATTTTAGAGGCCAGTTCTTAGAATGGGTGTGGAAAGTGACATTTTTTGGTCTGAAATTAAATGGGGCCAGGATTTGGAGAACCGGACGGGCACTCCAACAAGGATTCCCAGGGGTACCCCCTCCTCCCGGAGTATAATTCATCTCACAAACTTCCAGAGAATTACGACAGCCTAAAAACACCGGGTCATATTTTTCTTTAAATTCATGATTTATTCACACCCTTTCATTCTACAGAATTAAATCAACAGATGCCTGGAAGTGATAAAACCTAGAACCGTTGCAACAA